TATATCATACTTAACGATTCGAGTATATAGAATATAAAACTACAATAAAATTGGTTTTAATAAATTCTTAATAAATACATATATATATAAAAAAAAAAAACACACACACACACACACACATGTGTGTGTGTGTGTGTGTGTGTTTTTTTATATATATATATGTATTTATTAAGAATTTATTAAAATCAATTTTATTGTAGTTTTATATTCTATATATGTATGTATATATCATAATTAACAGATTTAGAGTATATAGAATAAATAAAAAATATACAAAAAAATCCACCTAAATTGTATGAAATATATTGAAGTCAATAGATTAAAATAAAAACTATAACAAAATTGGTTCTGGTAAATTTTGAATAAATATATATAAAAAAGAAAATAAAACTTGTGAATTTTTTTTAAAAAATTATTATTTAAAAAAAATTGAGTCAAATATTTAAAACATACTTTTAGCTCTCTCTCTCTATCTATATATGTATAATCAGAATTTATAAATTATAATAATATATTTTAAAAAATAAAACACTCATTTAAAAATTATAAAAATTATATTTCTATAGTTTAACCACATAATTTTTCTTATAATATAACGATTTCATTTAGTTTATCCTTATACTATTATTTTGATTTATATTTTTTTGGCTCAATATATCTTTCGGTTAAGCAAATAATAAATCATAATTAGTTTAAGATGCATGACATACTTGGCCTTTTTTTTTCTTCCTATATATATATATATATATATATATATATATATATATATATGTGTGAAGAAAAAAATAAAAAACAGAGCCCAGCCTCTGCGTAGCCAGGACATGCATACATGGAGCAAAAAACGCGCCAGGCCCTTTTTTTTCTTTTAAGCTCAGGGGGGAAAAAAAAGCAAACCAAAAGAGCTGGGGTACAGTAAATGAAACACTGTTCAAATACCCCAGTCATTTTAATTTTCTTTACAGAGCAAGGAGAGGATGAGAAAAAAATAAAATAAAAGAAACGAGGAAAAGGAGCAAAAGACAAAAGCACAGTAGAATTGAGTCTATATCCACAGAAATCATGTACCTCAATTAACAGTAAAAAAAGTGAAATTCTTCTCACTTCTTTTAGTTTTTTAGTTAATAACTAGTCGATTACCCACACTATACTCGCAAGTCTAGTTGAACAAAATCATTTTAAAAATTTAAAAATTTTTAATTATAATTTTATATTTAAATAATTTTTTTAATAATTTTTTTGCTTAAAAAACATAAATAATTAATATTAATCAAAAATTAAAAAAATTTAAAATATATTTTTCATAATATTATATTAAAAAATAAAGTTATAATTAATAAATAGACTTTTTTAAAAACTAACAAATGAAAAAAAAATTCTTATTTAATGCTGATGAGAATATTAATTTTTGAAATTATCTGCGCAACGCAATAGGTAGATAGAACAAAATCATTTCAAAATTTTATAATTTTTTATTTAATTATTATTATTATTGTTGTTTTTCATATAATATCTTCTTAAAAAAACATGATTTATTTTTCATTATTCAGGGATTCCTAAATAAAAACTTATAATATATAATTTAAACCTAAAATATTAATTAAGAAATTATAATAAATATTTTAAAAATATATTGTTTTATAAGAATATATCCAAAAAATAAAGTTACAATTAATGTATAGACTTGCATAAAAATTAACCAATAAAAAATAAAATTTATTCTTATTTAATGTTGATGAGAAGATTATTTTTTTAAAGTACATATATTTGATCTATACATATTATATAATCGTCTATTTGTGTGAAAAAAATAAATATTAATTTTTAAAAATTTTAACACCCAATTAAATAAAAAAAGCACATAAATTGATTTAAAAAAATCAAAGAAAAAACCAAAGAAAAAAAAACGCATGTAGTACATCGGCTAGGGATTAAAATTTTTATTTTAAATTTTCAAGGATCAAAACGAAATAATTTGAAAATTACAAAAAAAAAAAAAAAACCTAAGAAGAAAGAAAAAAACTAAGAGTGAAAAAAAGAAGAAGAAAGTGAATAGTACATTGTGAGGGGGAGAACAATATTGCTATAAAAATAAAAACTTTAAAAATATATTGTTTTATAAGAATATATCGAAAAAAATAAAGTTATAATCAATGTATAGACTTGCATAAAAATTAACCAGTGAAAAAATAAAATTTTATTCTTATTTAATGTTGATGAGAAGACTTTTTAAAAAAAAATATATATGCAAATGATATATATATATATATATATATAATCGTCGGTTTGTGTGAAAAAAGAAGAAGCAATGATTGATTTTTAAGAATTTTAACATCCTATTAAATAAAAAAATATAATTGATGAAAAAAAGTAAAAAAAAAAAAAAACATGTAGAGCATCAATTAGGAATTAAAATTTTTATTTTAAAATTTTAGGGATCAAAACGAAATAATTTGAAAATCACAGAAAAAACATAAGGAAAAAAAAGGTGAAAATTACAAAAAATTAAAATTAAAAAAAAATATAAGAAAAAAAAAACTAAGAGTGAAAATTACAAAAAAAAAAAAAAAAAGCAAGAGTGAATAGTACATTGTGAGGGTAAAAAAAAAAAAAGGAGTGAACAATATATTGTGAGGGGGTGATTTTTAAAGTATATGCATTTGATCTATACATATTATATAATCATTAACTTGTGTGAAAAAAAAAATAATGGTCGATTTTTAAAAATTTTAACACTCAATTAAATAAAAAAACATAAATTGATGAAAAAAAGAAAAAAAGAAAAGAAAAGAAAAAATATATAGTGCATCGACTAGGGATTAAAAGTTTTATTTTAAAATTTTAGGGATCAAAATGAAATAATTTGAAAATAAAAAAAATAAACCTAAGAGAAAACGTAAGGGTGAAAATTTTAAAAAATAAACGAAATACTCGTAAAAAAAAAAAAAACTAAGAGTGAAAATTAAAAAAAAAAGGAAAAAAACTAAGATTAATAATAATAAAAAAACTACTAACCTATTCAAATGAACAAGTATAATGGGGGAGTTCATTGTTCATTTGAACGAGTGAACTCCCTATGCCTTTTAGATATATAACTAGATTGGTACCGCGCTACGCTGCGGTCGAGTACCATTTATATACGTAGTGTTAACAATTCGTATGATACATTGCAAGTAAAAGTTTTATGTCCGATGATTAACGTAAATCGAATCTATATATTAAGTGAAATCGCTTTATATATAAAAAAAACACGATTTAGAGTATATAGAATAAATAGAAAAATACACAAAATAAAACCGAACAAAATTGATTCCGATAAATTCTGAATAAATATATATAAAAAAACAAATAAAACATGTGAATTTTTTAAAAAAAATTGAGCCAAACTATCCGAAACATACTTTTATCTCTCTCTCTCTCTCTCTCTCTCTCTCTCTCTCTCTCTCTCTCTCTCTCTCTCTCTCTCTCTCTCTCTCTATATATATATATATATATATATATATATATATATATAATCAGAATTTATAAATTATAATAATATATTTTTAAAATATAAAACACAAACGTTTTAAAATTTTATTCCAAAATTCATACATTAAAAAAATATTAATAAATAAAATTATATCAAAAAATTAATTTGATGAGAATTTTAATAAGAAACAAATAATTGAAAAAATGAATTTTAAACAATAAGAGTAATATAATCAGATATATATGTTCAAACTAAAATCTTAAAAAATATGATATATATTCTATCGTCTTCAAACTCGTACGTAAAACTAAAAAAAATAAAGATTTAATTTTTATATTTTTCTCACCTAATTTCATGATAATATATATATATGAAGAAAAAAAGAAGACCATGCTCGCTAAATTATATGAAATATATTGAAGTCAATAGATTAAAATAAAAAACTACACTAAAATTGATTGTAATAAATTCTGAATAAATATATATAAAATAACAAATAAAACTTATGACTTTTTTAATCGATTATTAATTTTTTCAAAAAAATTAAGCCAAACTATTTAAAATATACTCTTAGCTCTCTCTCTCTCTCTCCCTATATATATATATATATATATATATGTAATTATAATTTATAAATTATAATAATATATTTAGAAAAACACCGACGTTCTAAAATTTTATTCTAAAATTCATATATTAGAAAACCTAATTTATTAACAAAAAAAACTATATCAAAAAATTAATTTGGTTAGAATTTTAATAAGAAACAAATAATTGAAGAAATAAATTTTAAACAATAAAAGTAAAAATGAAAAAAAGAAAAAGAAAAAAGTAATAGTGAAATTTTTTTAATAAAAGGAAAAAAAACTAAAATTGAGTGGTATAGTGTGAGGGTAAAGTACATTATCATCCTATGTGGAAAAAAATAACGATTTATTTTTAAAAATTTTAACACTCAATCAAATAAAAAAAAACATAAATTGACGAAAAAAAAGACATATAGTGCATCAGCTAGGGATTAAAATTTTTATTTTAAAATTTTAGAAATGAAAACGAAATAATTTAAAAATTAAAAAAAGAACGTAAGAAAAAACTAAAGGTGAAAATTAAAAAATAAAAAATTAAGAAAATAAGGAAATAAGTAAGAGTGAAAATAAAAAAAAAGAAAAGAAAAACTAAGGTTGAGTTAAAAAAAAAAACTACTGTTTAAGTAAACAGTACCGCATGATGGTTACTGTTCATTACTTATAAACTAAAACGCGTTTTAGTTTATAAGTAATAATCAGCGCAACAGGCTGATCGAATATCTGAGCCAAAAAGACAAAAGAATCTCGGTAGATGTGTCCTTAAATAATACAGGGCCAGCAATCCAACATTACATTGGATCAACGGAATAAAAACAACCGAATCTGAAATATAAGTAATTACATAAGTATATAGAAGAAAATCATAGAGCAGTACATGACCATGGAATCTAATTTATTACATGTAGTGATTAAGCTAGTTTTCTTTAGCTAATTAACAATATATACTAGTGACGAATTGCTAGAAGAGCTTGTGACTGCTTTTCGTAGCGAAAACCACCAGCCTTAGAGTCATCTGCTGACCAAACGAAAATCCCATGGAGTTCATTCTGTCTCTTAAGCTCACTGCAGGCTGTAAAGAAGCCGTCTGACGGAGATAAGCCTCCGCTTCCATCGCTGATAAAGCTCACCAAGACTTTCCCACCATTGTATTTAGAACTCTGGGTTTTGAAGTAACTCATAAACTGGGATACTGAGGTGCCCTGATCATATGCATAGAATTGGAAGTTCACATAGTCTATCTGATGCCCATATTTTCTCCATAAGGCCAAGTAATGGCTCTGAACTTGATCATCATCAAAAGGAGCTATAGAGGCAAATGAGATGACTCCATTTCTCTTGAGGGTTGTAATGAGTTGTCCTATGCACTCTGCAAATGTATCAGGATCGGCTTGAAAGTGCTCGTAATCAATATCAATCCCATCCAAGTTATACTGCTTAATGATCCGTGTGAGTGAAGAAACAGCGTTAGAAACCCAAGATTTAACTGAGGAGGGATTAAAGTAAGCATGGCCATTCGCTACGCTATCCCCTCCGAGACTCAAGGCAACTTTGACATTAGAACGTTGGTTCTTGATAGAAGAAACCTGGGAAGGGCTTAGATTATCGGTGTCCCAGAAGATGTTGAATTTTCCATTGGTGGGAGAGGGAGAATCTGAGGTGTCATAGTCTATTGCAAAAGAGAGGATGAAATGGAATTCAACATTTGAGTTTATAGGAACATCGGTGAATCTGACATTATTGAACTCTGCTCCTATGTACTCACGGAAGAGGTTTGAGTTTGCAGGGACTGCTTGGATTGATGCTTGGAAGGAGAAAATAGCTTGAAGAATAAGAAGGGTGATGAAAAACACTGAAAACTCCATATCTAGTTACTGATCAAGAGTTGTGGCTTGCTGGATGTGTTAGACGTTGGGTGTATATATATAGTGTCAATTGGGAAAACACTAAGAATGAATTCAACAAAGCTAAATAGTATTGAAATATTATTTGCGGATTGCCGTGGATGCAATTTTCAGATTGTAAGTGAAAACACAACATATTTTTTGACCATCTTGTAAGTGAAAAAGAAGTAGCAAATTGTTTTATTAGGAAGAAGACTATAGCGATTGCAGGTGTTTCATAGAATATTGTTTTGCTTAGATGCATATTTCGTTGTACGCACTTCTTCCATTTTCTATTCTACGCGCGTGCCTTAAAATCATGGCAGTCTATGTTGCTTTCTGGCTGGGAGTGAATTTTTTTTTTTTTTTTTTTATCCTTAATGATATTTCAAACTTAAAAATTCAGAATAATCCTTTATTATTCTTTAGACACAAAAGACATAAATAATTATTAAACATATTTTTTATTTATACACAAGAATTCAAATTTAAAATTATTTACTTGAATGGCAATCCTCTTTAATGGAGTGAAAATGTTATTGACCCATAAGTTTGTATCTCTCGTACAACCAGTAAAAATTGATTTTTTGTTTTTTTTTTTCCTTCCTAGCATAAACAAGGCAGTAAATGGCAATAGAGTCCCTCCCAGTCTCCAATTGCACAAAATAGAAAAGGTACAAATATATTTATGAGGCTACAGATAAAAGGCATGGGAGTCTACCTATGAATGCTGGTCCAATAGCCCAGGCCCAACACAGAAGGCAAGTAAAGGCCGAAAAATTACCATTGGTCCCTTTACTTTGGATCTATGCTCAAATGAAACCATTTATATTAAATTGAATATTCTACTGCCTACTTAAATGTGATTATGAAATACCCTCCTTTATTATAAACTTTCATTGAGTTGACCAAGTTAATTGACCCAAAAAAAGAGGTGATAAGTGGTTCCACGAGTACATATAAAATTAAAAGTAATAAAATAATTTGGAAATTAATTAAAAAATTATTGTAACATAAAAATTAAACTTGATTAAATAAAATTACTTTCTATAATAATAAATTAAAAAACTTATGTATCAATTTTTATTTTCTAATTTATCTAATTCATGGATTATTTGAGCAATAAGCTTCGTTAGCTTAAAGCTTTGCAGTGTCAAAAATTGTTTGCACTATACTTTTTACAAGATCCCATGATTTACTTGGTTTGTAGAGTACCTAATCTTTGGTCCATAATTAGCCAAAAAAAAAAAAAATGCTAACTTTTATGCTTAATTTGCCAAAATACTTACATTTCATTTGTTTTTCAATGAACAATAAGGCATTTGATACTAACACCTACTAATTATATAGGTAGATGTCATAAATTGGTTTACATGAGCATATATATATCAAATTGAATAATAGTTGTACCAAACTTATTTACACTAATCCATTTTAATAGTTATTTTGTTTTCTGTACAAAAAAGTTGGTCTTGAAGATGCGACAGGAGCAAAAGCAATTAATTAAACGGGGGGTAGTTTTTTCTTTAATTAACCTTGGTATGAATTTCTATTTGAAATTGCTAAATCGTTAAATAATTAAATTTTTTATTTAATTAAAGTAACGATAGAGATATGTTTGGTTTGTGCAAAAATAGAGGAAATTTATTTAATTTAATTTTTTAGAAAGACAATTTGCTTTTTTTTTTTTAACTTTTAATTCAAAAAATAAAAATAAAAATAAAAATATTTTCCAAGAGAATAATACACACACTTGCAGACATCTATGAATATCACGTCAATTTTACAATCTTCTGCAATATGTATAGATAAGATTAAAGGGGATTTATGTTGACTAAGTGCCATTAATTTACTAAAATAAAAGGTGATGAACTGAGCCATATGCATAGATAAGATTAGCAACAATAACAAATTATAAAATACTCAGAAAATTAATTATAACTAAATAGAATAATTTTATGATAAAAAATAGATATAATTAAAATTTTTATTTCAATGTAAATTATAATTAAGAATTTATTTTTGTTTTTATTCACACTTTGGTTAATTATTGAAAATTATCATATCTAGTTGATTTTTTCTCTCTAATTAGATGTTTTATCAATTCTCCAACTTAGCTAGTTTTTACATTTTTTCTATAGAGAAAATCCGTGGTTCCATCTCTTGTTTTGCATAGGTAATAAAAATATTATTTATTATTTATGCAGACTCATCGTATTTGTAACTCTATTAATATTAGAGCTTTGTTACATTTTCTCTAAGATCTTTAAGAGATATCCACAATTTATATACCGATTTATTTCACTATATGTTTCCCTTGATACTTTTTTCTTTTTATCACGCAGAAACTGATTAGAATATCATGAATAAAATGACTTACTCATTTCACGTAATAAATTATATTAAAACTTATTAAAGTTAACTAGTGTGAATAAAAATTTTCATCCAGAAAAAAAGTTAAATAAATAACTCTATATAAGTAAAAAAGAAAAAAGAAAAAAATACCATCGAACATGTTTTTTCAATTTCAAAAGTAAAAAATAATTTTTCATATTTACCAAATGAACATATTTTTTTAATTTTTCACACACACACATATTTACGGTAAATCGTATCTCAATTCTCATCCGTTGACGTTTGGTAAACTTGGGCCAAGCACAAGGAAAAAAAATCTCCCAAGCCCGGCCCATCAAACTCTGTACCCACAAATTTGTTAACAACCATAATCATCTTTATAACAGTTTACAATCCCCTTAATAAACAGAAACTATTAGCCATAGTTTAAGCGTTTAAGCGCTTAATTAGCGAGAATAGCATCCATCATCCAGCCCTCGGGCTCGCTATATAACTCTCCCTTCTCGTCTATTTCAGTAAAAAGAAAAATCAAAATCAAAATTCTCCCGCCAAAATGAAAGAGTACCAAACGCCATTAAAAGAACACTCGCGATCATCTTCAGATCGCAAATTCAAAGCCTCTCGAATGAAGCAGCCACAAAAGGTTAATTAAAGTCCGAACGCTAACTTTTCTTTCCGTAGTTTTTCGAATCTCAAATTGAAAATCTCTCACTTCTGTAGATCGCAAAGAAGAGCTTGGACGGCATGTTTACTTCGGTGACTGAAGTTGTTTCGCCGGAAATCAGCAAGGAATCAAGTGATTTCTCTCCGATTTCAGAGATATCTGATGTTAAGCAAAGTAGCCAAACAGAAGAAGTAAATTTCTGGTCGTCTCAATGAAATTTCGTAGTTTCGTTTTTTGCCTCAATTTTTCTCTTATGCAGAACTAGTTTTAATTCTAGACTTATATTTTGTATCATAATTTTTCGTCTGTGAGGGTGATTTATTTATTTATTGCTTAAGAAAAAGTCACAATTGTGAAATGATTGAAAAAAATCCTTTATACTATAAGTTTCTCTTTTGTTATTGAATTGTTTTATGTACATTTTGTTTTTGGTTTATTTGGCTAAATTCGTTACCTCGCTTCAGATCTCCTTGTTAGATTTGAATGCAGCTCTCTCAGCTTGGACAGACACGTTCCCTCTCTCTGATCCCATTCCAAGTTCAGAAATCAGCACCATCACCGATGAATCAGACTGTATTGAGAGTTATGGCCTCAGCAAACCGTGCGGTTCAAAGATTGGTCCAGTGGACACGTGGGAGGCAGATGTCGTGGAGAAGCTTTTCAAAGAAGCGAAGATTGATCAGGTTTTGAATTCTGATATTCGGTCAAAGAAGCTTCTGGATGCATTGACTAAGGCTGTTATAGATTATTATGACACGCTGCCTCAAGAGAAAGACTGGATGGTTGATCTTGTTTCTATGAAATGGCGCATTGTGTGTTTGTGTTTCTTGATTTGGAGCTTCGTGGTGTCCATTATATTCTTGTTTGGTTCGGGATTGGGTAGGGGTAGCTCTGCTGGTGGACCGTTGCCGACTTGAACAATTGCACAGAACGGGTATGAGTTGGGTTTTGTTTCTTTTTGGCAGGTTTAGTTTCTTTCATTTATGATAGCCCATTGCATTTTTTGGATTGCCTTTCTTGTTGTTTTAGAGTGGGATCAGCTAAGTTGGAAATTGGAATTGTGTAGACATAATTTAATTTGATGTGTGATAGATAGTGTCAATTTGAGTGTTTTTGCTTCAGATGTATGGCACAATTTCTTTCCCTGATGCCTAAGCAGAGTGTTATGAGAATTGCTAACTGATACTCTCATGATAATTTACAATTCGATATTAGATTAGTTACAAGATTTCTATGTTGATGTTATCTAATGCGCATGGAACTGGTCTTAGCACCTAAAGGTTGCACAATCTGGTTTTTGCCATGTTTATGTTTCCTGTTGTGTTCCATATAATGCTAATCTGCACCATTAATGCATCTATTGTATGTTTGTATGTCTAGTGATATCTAGTTGTACTTAATTTTTTCTCTTCCATGATCATTGTTGTGCAGTTCTCATTAGCTATCGATGGTAAATGGAGGCATGCTGGCAAACGCGTTTGGTGCTACGTTGTTTGCAAAATAATATATGGGGTCAATTATTTTGTAAACCACAATGACTGCTGATCTTCTCGCTGCTTTTACTACATGTCATCCTTCCCAGTTTTACTCGGTAAAAGTATTGCCAACTTCATCCATCTGTTGCCATAAAAATACATGGGTTCATTTTGGCCTATAATTCTGAGCACCCCCTCAAAAGGGTTTTTTTTTTTTTAAAAAATCATCTTATCACTTTTTTATGCTATGCTTCCACGTTTTCCTGCTGTCATTCTACCACATAAATTGGTTTTAACTAGATTATAGATGCATGAATTTTTTTTTAATGGATTGGTACTCGATTCATCTTAGTCCAAATAATCAAGGCAATGTCAATGATATTTTAACTTGCTTGGGCCTAATTGATAGGCCATAGCTTGATGAAGTTGAAAGTCAAGCAGATGCTTGCATGGAAGTCACAATTCTAACATATGAGATTCCTGTTTCTGCTTTGATCTTGCTTGACATCTCACTGGCCCGTCCTCTATAGCCACGTGATTTTCCATTTGGTGATAAATGTCGACCCCCTCCAGTTGGTTATTAACTGATCCTATCTATAGTCTCATCTCAGTCAGAACTTGGCATGATGAACGCTGGTTATTGCCCATGAATGATCCGTTCCATATGGCAAATGAGTAAAAGCATTTTTAATGTTGAGACCATCATAAAAGAATTCACAAAGAATCAACTTCTGTGAAAAACAAACCTCCAACTATGGAGGCATTTGAATTCATCTAAATAGTGTAAATAATTGTCTGGTTCTTCTCTAATCTTCAGACTGACTCGGTGCAGATTTTGCCAAATCTGTGAGCACCCCATCCTCCAGAATAGTTTCCAGCTAGTCTGACCATCTATCAGCTGACTTCGTTGAGTTAGTAGTCATTTTATCATCTTGTCGTTATCCAATGTCTTTATCCAAATGTGTGTTCTTTTATTTTCTTTGAGGTGATGATAGCTTGTTGACTGCGGTGGTGGTTGCGGAGCATACAGAACTTGTGAAATAATTTAAAAAATTTATTATATTTTGGTAAATCTTGTCATGTTGTGAATCCATTAAAAGCATATTAAAAAAAAAGAAAAAGAAAAATCACCTAACTCTATGCTTTTTAATCAAAATTTTATCCTTAATTAATTTTTTTTTATTTTTAATAGATTTCCTTCTTTTAAGAAGTATAATTTTTTTTTTTTATACATGGATTTTTAAATAAAAATTTATAATAATCTAAAACACAATATTCAATTAATCAGAAATAAAAAAAGTGTAAATTTAATTATTTTTTTCATAAGATTTTATAAAAAAAGCAACGATTAATATAAAATTCGCATAAAAATTAAAGATTAAAAATAATTTTTTATTCTTATTGAATATTGTCGAGGAGATTAATTTTTGAAAGTATGTATATTATGTTTATATATATATATATATATATATATTCTGAAAATAATCAATAATATTAACATAAATAGCTCTAGTTGAAATGTATGATTATCTTGGGTGATTTTTTTTTTAGCATAATTGTAATTGTTTTATTTGAAGAAAATTTGTTTTAAAATATCTAAAAATTTAAAACAAAAATAGCAAATGTTAAGTGTTTTTGAGTGTATATGCATGGTCAATTTTTAACAAAAAAACACGTATAGAATTTATTTTGATAAATTTTGATTATATATATAAAAAAATAGGTAGATTCAATTTTTCTCTCTTAATTGACATTTTTGTTACATGCTTGGTCTATGTGCATAGGCTTCACACATATAACAATCAGTTCTCTTTGTTTTTTTTTTTTTCATTTCTTACTTGTAATTATTACTTAAAACTCAAAAATTCAAATCAAATTTAAAATTGTAAGTAAATATTTTGGGATATCAATTTTCTTCTTTCTATCGTTTTATAACATGAGATCACCGTAAACACTCTCTCCCTCCTTCACGGATCAAATCATTATATAAATAAAGTTGAAAATCAAAACAAAAGTTTTAGTCAAAATCATAGATCAAAGTGCAAAGTTTTTTAAATTTTCACATCAATGCTTGAGTAAAAACTGAAATTCACAACAATGTTACAACAAATACATGAGCAAATGATAAAAACAACAACGCCAAGTGAGTAGGGTACATGAGAAACTTAAAGCAATATCAAACGAATAATGTATATGAATATGGGTAATTAGTTAATGAATTATAAACAATTCACTATAAAAAAATTTAAGAATCTAAAACCGAAGTTTTAATCAATCGAAAAAACAAAACAATAATTAATGTAAAAAAAGCACAAGAATTAAAAAATTTAAAATAATATTTTCTCTTTATTGAATATCGATGAGGGAATAATTTTTGAAAGTATATATATATATTTTGTATAATTGGTTTTTTTCTTTTTTCTTCTAAACTTAACTTAACTTGTAATTTATTTATTTTTACAAAGGTGCAACTGGTAGTTCTCCAGTGAAATTGATTACATGTTTTTTTTTCTTTTCTTCCAAACCATTTTAACGGCATGTAATTGTAAATCACATTGCTATTTTCTTTATTTATGTATGCTTAAAATTTGTGATGATTTGTGTAGAAGGATTCAATTGAAATTTTTTAAGAAGTCTGGAGTCTAGATTGACATTCATTATAATCATAACAATTTGAGGTTTACCCAAAAAATAATTTTCTAATAATCCACTTTTCAAATCCCTATTGGTCAGTCACCGAACCAACCGCCCCTTCCTGCCACCAGAACAATCAGTTCCCCGACGTTAAAATCCTCCCAAATTATTAAAAACCAAAATTCAAAACCACTGAGGTAAAAAATTAATGGAGCCAACAGCACACTCCGACCCGAATCTAAACCAGACCCGACCAAACGAACCAGAGCTCGACCTCTACACCATACCCAGCTACTCCAGTAAGTCCCCCCTTCTCTGTGTTACAAAGCCCTAATTTTCTGTTTGTTTCCCGAGAAAAAAAAATAAAAAACCTTCCCGGAAAATCTCAAAGTTTTTCCCTTTCTGTGATTTTTGCAGGTTGGTTTTCGTGGCACGATATTCACGAGACAGAGAGAGTGGCTCTAAGAGAATTCTTCGATGGGAGCTCAATAACGAGAACTCCAAAAATCTACAAAGAATACAGAGACTTTATAATCAATAAGTACCGTGAAGATCCTTCTAGAAGGTTAACATTCACGGAGATTCGAAAGTCACTGGTTGGTGACGTTAGTTTGTTGAATAAAGTCTTTCTGTTTTTGAATAACTGGGGATTGGTTAATTTTAGCTGTGAAAAGGATGAGGGAACGGGTTTGAGTTTGGGTTCGGGTAATGTGGATGTTCGGGTTGAAGATGGGGCTCCGAATGGAGTTCGGGTTGTGGAGATGCCTGATAAGTTGAAACCCATTTCGGTGGGGTCGGTGCAAAGTGGGGCGGAGGGTAGTGGTGGAGTGTTGAAGTTGCCGCCTTTGGCGTCATATTCGGATGTTTTTGGTGAGTTTGTTGGGAAGAAGAAAGAGGCTGTTTGTGGTAACTGTGGCGGAAGTTTTGAGTCGGGCCGGTATGAGAGTAGTAAGGTAATTGAATTTCGAGTTTGATTGCAGTAGTGCATTGGGGTTGTTTATCTTTTGGGGTTCTAGTTGCGAGTAAAATTTTGTTTGTGCTCTTTTTTTCCATGGAAATTCTTTGTGCATGATTCAAATTTAAGTTCATTTGTGCGTTTCGATTTGTTAAGATATAGTGGTTGGATTGGTGCATTGACTGAATTTCATATTGTAATCTGATTGTGATTTTGAGATTAACATGCTAGGTTAGGACTTGAGACCATCGACTTGGTAGATTTTACCTTTCTGAATTGTCTGGTGTTGTGTTCAGGCCAGTTAAAGAGAAGAGTCACTAAACACTGTATCTAAGTATGCTGGGTTGATAATCTTGGCCACCTAGAAAGCAGCTTTATTTATCCTGACTAAGTGGTGCATGTCTTGGGACTTAACATAAGCTGTTCTCTTGTCCCTGCCATTAAGTTATGTGATATGAACTTTGCGGCATAGTGGATTTGTAGGATGGATTGTGAGATTCCACATAATTCTCTTCTTAGATCTCTGTAATCTTTCACTTCCCTTTAGGCATTTACCAGCCGGTGCCTCTGTCCAACCCTACCTTTTTTTTTTGCTATTTTTATATTTGGGAATGATCTCTCTCTATTTCCTTTGTGGGAGTGCTGATTTTATTTTCTTGTTCTAACTATTGGATTAGCAGGATGATTACGTAATCTGTCAAAAATGCTTAAGTGATGGAACATATGGCGAGAACAAGTCTAAGGATGAGTTCAAGCTTAATGATAATGCCGACAACAATGGTACCAATTCAGCTGTGTGGACTGAGGAAGAGACTTTGCGTCTTTTAGAATCTGTTTTGAGGCATGGGGATGACTGGGACCTTGTTGCTCAAAATGTTCAAACCAAGACCAAACTTGATTGTATTTCTAAGCTCATTGAGCTGCCATTTGGAGATCTTATATTGAGTTCTACATATGGAAAGGGCAACTCTAATGGACAGAGTGGGAGCACAAACAACTCAAAACAAGTTCCTGTGGCTCCATCTAAGCTTCAAGATGATACAAAAAATGAAGACCAATTGCATGAGCAGATGAATGCAAATGAGGAGAATGGAGTTATTGTGGATGACGGTCCATCTTTGAAAAGAAAACGCATTACTTCCGTTTCAGATGCTGGTGGCTCTCTGATGAAACAAGTAGGATTGCTACCTTTAACTTCTTCCCAGGCTTTCTTGTTGACACACCTTCAATTGGTTTATCTAATTTTGTTAATTAGGATATGTTTTGATTGTAGACTATTCATCTTAGCTTATGTTTTATTACTCAATTTGTGATTTTTTTCATTAGGTAGCTCTTTTCTCAACCATGGTTGGCCCAGATATCACAGCTGCTGCAGCTGAGGCTGCTGTTGCAGCACTTTGTGATGAAACCGCATGCCCAAGGGAGATATTTGATGGTGAGGAGGATTTTCCTACTAAGGGGTTTTCGTCTCCCTCCTTCCATTCCAAGTCTGAGAGGTTGTTTATTTATATGATTTTTATCATCTGTTGTTCCAGAGATTATTGTTTTGCCCTTGCCTTATTTCTACATGTTAAAGTTTTCTGTACATTTTTCTATTTTAGAGTGGATGAGGTTGATGACTCAGAGATGAAGCGAACACCCACTCTGTCAGGTAATTGATATAATGCAATTGTGCAAAACGGTCTTGATGATAATAAATTTGTAGGAGGGCTATCTGCCTGTTCTTAATTTTATTATATGCTTCTTTATGTTTTGTTCACCTGTGTTCATTTCTGTTTCATTTGCTCCACATGCTTGTTTAGATAGATTTGCCATTTTTCTTGTAATGTTTGCATGTGCTTTTTTTGGGGAGGGTAGGGGGTGTATCCACTTTGCTACATGCATGATAGTAGCATGGTGTTTTAGTCTGCTAATAGTTTAGCTTGCACTAGGTCCTATGTAACTTGTTAATAATCCACATCAACCATACCACTAGCTTCTTTATGTTGGTCAGCTTTCTCCTGTTGTTTTAAATAATGAATATATTAGCCAATCCTTTTGTCTCTTCATGTGTCTGTCTTTTTCAGGAACTGAGGAGACACCTGCATGGCAAAATGACATACCTCTATCTTTGCGTCTTAGAGCTGCTGTTGCAACAGCTCTCGGGGCTGCTGCTGCTCATGCTAAATTACTGGCGGATCAGGAAGACCGAGAAGTTGAGAATTTGATGGCAACCATAGTTGAGACACAGGTAGGTCAGGTTTTCTATTTCTGCATCTACTCCATGCATTTCACAATGAAGAAATTTCCATTTTAGACGATGCAGCTCTTAATATTCGTTTATTAAATGAATGCAACATTAGTTGAAGAAGCTGCACCACAAAATGAAGCACTTTGATGATCTGGAGCTGATAATGGAGAAGGAATATGCTGAATTAGATGAACTAACAGAGTCATTAACTGAGGAGCGGATTGATGTCTTGCAGAGGGCAATTCGTGCAGGCATATCTAAATGGAGGGATCATGCTTCCATAAAATCTCACATGGCAAATGTAGTTTGAAGGAGCTGTACACCAATTTAGTGTAAAAAAGTGGTAGAATGGACATGATTTAACCTTAACTTGTTCCAGTTTAAACCTTAGATTTAGTGTATCTAAAGCGATCTCTTATTTAGCCACAACTGCATTTGAATTTGCAATTAGGGCAGCTGAACATAAACTTGTGTCTCACTGATTGGTTGTAGCCTTTTAGAGTGCTAATAGTTCAGTTTAATTTTATAACAGTTTATTTGCTTTCTACCTGGTAATTTCTGTGTGCATTATTTGTTATGAGTGTCATAATTTTCCTCTTGATATTGCAAGATTCGTTTTCTTGAGAGACGTTGGATCAGGAAGCATTGATGATGTCCCATGAGATTTGCCCGCATAGATCATGACAGTTTAGGAGATTTCTTAACTAATATATTGATCAAGTTTTATTTGAAAAATCCAGTTCCTGTTTCTTGCATCAATTGTTTCAAGGTTGGTAGCGACGGGGAACTTCCTAGTTAATAACCGCAGGGTTATCCTGCATAAGAAGTGGATAAAATCCTATAGTTAAACTGCTCTGGAGCTTAAAATAAGGAATTGATGAATAGGATATGGAAGTCTAATCAATATGTTGTAGTAGATGCCCTTGAGCAGTTGAGGTTGCTCAAATACTTATCAACATAGTAACGGTGAACAGAGCACTATCCTGGGTGCAGCTTAAAGGAAATAGTTGATAGAATATTGAGCATTTGAGCTAATGCTGTAAGAAAATAATAATAATAATAATAATAATAATAGTAATTGCTAAAACATATATGCCTCTTTTCAGGAAAGATAATCTGTACAATCATTTTCTCTCACCATTACAGATCAATTTCAATCTATACGATAGCTGTACACAAACCATTTACTTATGGTTTCATTGAAGTGGAGTCCTTTAAGCTACAATTTGTTCTGTCGTTTTTGCAATGTTTGGCTATTTGCAAGCTATAAGCACATCATGAGTGGGATTTAATAAGTCCAAAATTCTGGAAACTTGGGCATCTGAAAAAGCCCCCTAAGAGGAAACTTCTTGCTGTCTGCCGGGGAAATTTCGGAAGCATACTCAAATTTCCTTTCACCTGTAATGCGGTTTGTCCTATTTGCTGCCGAATCATATGAATAGTTTTAGGGTCAACAGGGTTTCCAGACACATCCGTGACGATAAAATTATGTTCTGCTTTCCCGTTCTTTGTCGAAATTTCTGCTCTTTTGGGGCACAAACCATTTTCGCGAAGTATCCTTGTAATATCCGAAAGAAGTCCAAAATGGTCCTCTGTGAACAGCTCAAGTTCTAGTCCCTGAAGGAGAGTAACCAACTCTTATTAGAAAAAACAAACTATATGGACTGGGAAAATAGAAATCAACACAAGAGACAGAGCTATACCTCTGATGCTCGCCTCTCAATGGCTGCCTCAATACACTCCATGACACGTTGTCGCTCAGCTTCTGAGCTTATAGGGAGTCCATCGGCATGTCTGATATAGTATTCCTGCAATCATATCAATTATTGTCAAAAAAAATTGTTTTAACAGAAAAGGCCTCCTTCTTAGATGCTATTTAGGAACGCCGCTAAAAGGGATCATTTCTATCAAATACCTGAGTAGCTTCGCCCTTATTGGTAATGAACGCACCATGGAACACCCGATACTCCATGTCTGTTAGATTGCACACGGTGTCGAACAACAACTTCGGCCGATCTAGGGACCTTGCCGTAATGACAGTGTAATCTCTATCAGGACAGTCGGACACAGTCACACGGGGCCTAACACTATTGTCATCCTCTCTGTCAGGCCTTTCAAAATCCCTAGCAGCAAACATCATCTGGTGCAACCTTCTCCCTATATGTATTTCCCCAGGAGAAGAAATGGACACTGTTGGGATCCTAAAATCACCATGACCTTTTAAGACATTATGAAGAAGTTCCTTTACCAGGGATAGCTGCCTTGGGTCTTCAATTGCAGTTCCAGTTGACTGTTCTGTAATGTGAATGATCGCTGCTGCTCTAGCATTGTGTGCCCAAATCTCGGCATCGATCACATTACACCTCAGGTCTGTGAGCACTGCACATACTTCTGACAGCAAACCAGGCCGGTCAGTGCCGGTCAGTTCAATTAAAGTATGCTCTTTAGAAGCCAGCATCGTCCCCCTTGACATAACCATATTTGCATCAGTCTCAAGAGCCTGCAAAATCAAGCAAAATAGCTGTAAGTAAGACTGACTTTTTTTCACACAGCAGAGTCTAATTGAGAACCTAGTAGTGAAAAATTCATCCAAGAGAAACCGATTAAATCTGGTAACCTTCAAAACCAATTTGATTGCATGGAGAATAGAGAATAAGTGAAACATCGAATACCTTCTCTATGCAATTGAAGATGCCTTCATCTCTGATTTTGTTTCCATGATCATCAGTAACATGAAACACTGAAAATTGAAATCTACAGTCAAATGAAGGGAACAAAGAGGGGTGTCATTTTCTTCATTTCTTTAAGAAGATTTTCAATTAACCATACCATTCATGAACCACCCTCCATCAGAAGACATATATGCTTTTGTTATTACGAGGTTTCGGTCTGTAATAACTTGAACAACGTCAAGTACAGTATCTTTTCTGTTGCAAGTATCCACCTAAACAAGAAAAAACACAAAGAACTATGGATAAGAATAACTGGATAACAAAAAAAGAAAAACAAAATTCTAAATGGATAAAACTCGTCAACAATCCTACGTTCTAACATTGTGAAAGTTCAAGGTAATGGACCTGAATGACTGTGGCATGCTCACAAGCGTGATTGTCAATCACAACTCTGCAACCACAAAGTAGGTGTCATGTAAGTACTCAACTTTCTCCTACAAATGAACAGGTGGGCTTGGGAGAGAGAAGATGAAATACCTTGGAGAGTTCATTCTCCTTACAAGCTTTGCATACGCATCATCTTCATGGTCATCCATTTCCGGGTTTCTTTGATCTCCAATAGAAATTGAATAAGAACCCACCAAAACTTTCACACTAGAGGCCTAAATCCACAGTGGGAAACAGAATGAAGTGCTGTAACCATTTATAGAGTATAAACAGAAACCTGAAAGAGTACTAAGGACAAGGACAGTGGCTGGTTACGTGAAAAAACAGTTAGTTAATGTTGTCACCTATAAAATAATTGAAGCTGCCATATCCATAAAGAGTTGAAAACGAGAAAAAAAAGAAAAGAAAAGAAAAGAGAAGAAATTTCTTAGATTCCTAGGGTTGTCTTTTTCTTGGATTCTTTTGCCGTACAATTATTGGACTTTAGGGTTTAGGTAGCTTGGCATTCTTGAAATGTTGCCTCCTGACAGCTATAACAAGTTAAAGTTGATTAATTTTCCATTGAAATAATTAAGCAAGTCCTTATGGTTCGTACACACATGACCATTCCATTTGAGCAACACCATCAGGCAAAAAGAAGAGATGACAAATAGATCATCTTTTCCATTTGTTTTGTAATAATAATGGTCCAACATTCGGCAATGGCCAATCGCAAGGGTCTATTGGAAATTTGGAATTGCTTGACAATCCAACAAAATAAAAAGAAAAACATCAAAAGCGGTGTTTTTGTCAATGATCATGTCTTAAAAAACTCAAGATTGACATTTTGAAGATTAGATTGTCCTGGAATTTTCTTCTATTATACTTTATAGAATGTGTAAGCCAAAAAATTTCTTTATGGGTTACAAAATTGAGCGATTTAGATAATTTTTTTTGCATATGAATAGAGGAGCACTGGGCGAAGAGAAACAAACCATCAAGATATCAATGATTGGGAGGGAAGCAACTGAGATTTTAGGTATGAGGCTGCTAATAAAAAAAATATTAGGATACAATATTGGAAAATAAAATGAATAAATAATGGTTATAGAATAATAAATAATTTTGCACGGAACGAGCCATAAATTCAAAAAAGTGTGTATTTAAAAAATCTTGAAATCTTTAGGACTAGAACTAAAAATATGTCAAACAATGGAGGTATATATCATGACCCCCCAAGGTTACTTAACATTTAAGTGGATAAGGTTATTATGGATAGGATAGGATACTTAAGGCATGGGAAAGATCAACCACCAGAAGCAAAATTAGAAACAATGACATCTTGAATTGACTTTGATTTGTAAAAAGATTAAGTTCTGATAACAGCTAGAGTGATTTAGAGACAATGAACGTGGCAAAATTCAGCACTAGGCCTTAGCAGCTGCATCATGATCTAATATTTACAAACCCATCAATTGATCTTGATGCGTTCTCTCTCTCTCTCTCTCTTTTTTTTTTTTTAAAAAAAAAATACATCAGAGTATTTATGAAAAACCGAATTGTGTGAATTGAAATATTTTGTTTCAGATTTTTTTTTCTAATTTTATTCAAATAAAATTTCTAATTTAAAATTTTTCATTATTTTTTGAAACATAAAAAATAGAAGTACAAAAAAAAAAAAAAAAAATAGAAAAAGAGAGAATTGAGGTTTTTCAATTTGTTCAGTTTTCACATCAAACTGAACCAATACATTATGGAGATTCGAGGAATTTTATAGTACTCAAATAGTTATTCTATAAATTTACTCTACAGAGAAAAACAAATATAAAAAAAAGAAGTATGTTATGATTCATAAAAAACGATAAAAAAGATTTATATATTGACTTAATTTTATTTTTAATTTTCTCTCTTTTATAAAGTTTTTATTTTTATTTATGTTTATCTCTTTTTTATAGAGTAGATATATAAAATAACTCTTATACTCCTTAAAAGTTGTAAAATTTCTCCAATCGAGATTCAATTTGGTTTTTCAATTGGAACCCAACAGTGCTCAGCCATTACAACGTACGAAAGAAAGAAGGTTAAGAAAGAGAGGCCTTTTTTGTACTTAGTTTTGTCAACTTTTATGCAATAGTGGATTGAAACAGAGCTTTTATCACGAAGTTTCGTTTGATGAAATGTGTTGTCTCCTAAGTCCTTAACAACCCATCTACTTTCTTTCTTTTATTTAACTGATTAACCAGTTTTCGATTTTTTCGAAGAAAGTGAATCCCCTTTACTTTGTCTCAAATAAAAAAAAACAATAAAAAGAGAAAGATTCCAAGTTAGCTCCCTAGTTCATTGATTTCTCAATCTAAACTCTTCACAAATTTGTTAAAAGGAAACATCAAGCTCCCTACAACAGTGTTGTTTTTTTTGTGAAAAAAAGAAAAAGAAACGCACAATTAGGATGAAACCTATTACTAAAGTAGTTTTTGAAGGGCTCAATTGAAATTTTTATGAAACATTGAAGATCTAGATGAGACAAAATTGCTTTACCTCTTTCTAAAATTGCTACTTTGGGGATACCAATAAGACACTTTAACAATTTTTTTTTTTGGGGGGGTTAGGAGTAAGATATTTTACAATTTAATATCTCTAAGCTGAGTGTCATGACATCTTTGGCAGCTGCTGACCTCCAAAAACGTCAATTCTTAGATGCAATGCTCATGACCTGAGTTAGTGCTGATATAGAAATATCTATCACTGCTATGAGACTTCAAGAAAAACACCTCCATTTTTGGCTGCAACATTTGCAATGGAGTTAATGTTTGGCAGGTTTCTTACTAGGAAATCACCAGCAAAACGAACCATCCTTTTTGGTCCACGTCGCTTGTCTAGCTGTTACATCATCTACTCCTACTGTATTTTGACAGTTAAGACTTGGCCATTAAGAGGGGCATTAGAGTTGGTTTAATGCATAAAGCTAAAGACCGTAATGAGTTCTGAGGGATATGGGTGGTTTGTAGTGGAAAGGTGACTGTTTAAAGCTCTAGAGAGTATCATGTTCAGGTTGAATATGGTTTTTATTGCTTGTTTTGTATGCTTTGTGACAAATTCTTATCTTGTCCCATTTTTCCAAGGCAAATTTCATTCCGAAATTGGCAATACATGTTTTGCTTGCTCCCATGTACGAAAAGTTCGATATCATCAACATCACTTCCTTAGAAAGTAAGAATTTATGCAAGAAGTAATTGAGCAAACAGTTGTTCCATTAAATTTTGCCTTGGCCCATTTCCAGCTTCCCTGCCTTGCTAGAGTGAGCTGTAAGTTATTTTCGCAAAAAAAAAAAAAAAAAGTTCAGTTAGCTTCTAAATCCTAGTTCAGATATCCTTAGGCATCGACACACCCTGAAGTTTGTTCAATATATCCTCTTCTCAGCAAGAGCTGATCAAGTGATAAAGATTGACTACCTAATGAAATGAATTCCAAATCTAGAACCATGTCTTCCACAGCTGGAATGTGGCTCTAACGTTAATTTATTGTTCATTGCAGAGGTTATGTGTTTGATTATTAGCCTCATGAGGTTGTAGTGGATTTAAGGGGCTGGTTGCCATGCCACCAACCTTCACACCAGAAAGCAGGATATAGCAGTACTAATTCACAAGATCAGTACCTTGTAGTCATAATTAACAATTGCCAGTGATATTGCTTTAGGAGAGTACTGCTTGCCAGATTAAATTAATGCAAGAGCAACAACTTGCATCCTCTTAATAGCTAGCAGAACGAAGTAAGATCACACAACCTTCCATAGATTTTATCTATTAATAATTTAGCTAGGTGGGGCAACAACTTCCACCTTTTAAGTTGTTTCACCAACTAGAGCTGTTTTGGCAACATAGAGAAAGCAGTAGTATTTATAATTATACAACTCTTCATATAGCAGCAGTATATTCGGCACTGACTTTTTTTTCTGTGGATGGTTTCACTTTCACCCTAGGCAAATGCAGAACTTTCCCTGAGACCCAGTTGCGCAGGTTGCGCTGAGGTACTTTTCCTGCAAGGCTTTTTTGCATTCAGCAATGCACTTCGAAAGCGTGCATGGATTGAGTTGGATGCTAAATGCACACTCCACTGGTTCTGGACCCAAAACCAAGAACCCTAGCACCAGAAAGACTAGCAACACGAAACCCAACTTCACTCCTTTGCCTTCCATTTGAAAACTTGGACTGAATTTGTGAATTTCCTCTCACTCTTTTGTCTGCTCTGTTCTTCTGGCTAGGCTACTAAATTTGGTTGTCTTGATAAGGAACAACACACCCTGTCCATTTATAGAGAGAAATCTAGTGTAGAAAGATTCCCCATTAACATGAAGGCCATTTTAGAAACCAATGAGACCACAGCAATTCTGATGATATGTCTTTAAAATTGAAGTGATGAATTATCCTATTACAATTTAGTGCTGTGTGCTTACTTCTGCATCCACCAATTACTAGCATTAGCCACTTTCCTCCAAGATTAGTGACTCTCTACCAATTGGTGATGAACATGTTGTCCAAACATGTAAGAGTTTTTTCCACGTGTAGACGATCGATTTTGGCTTCATTTACCAATCACTGCCCAACCTTCTCCATTGATTTTACTTGACTAAGAGAGCACTTAGTCAAAAAAATGATCATGGGACATGCATATTTTCTTTCCTTCAAAACACCAAGTACAACTCTATACTAAACATCAAAATTGAGAAATATTTGGATATATGTAATTGTCCAATTGCCATTCCTTTTCGTGGGGCTGATGGACATGTGTCTTCGATGTATGGCAATACTTCAAATAGTTAGTTTTGGGTTAACAAACTTTTCTTACTCGGTACTTTTAAGTTCGAATGTATTAAAAAAAAAATTATTTATCTAAATCTATCGAGATGACGTGACAAATATATTCTTAAAATACATAAAAAAAATTAATTTCAATTGACTCGTAAATTAACTCAAAACACCTTGTATCATTAAATTAAAAAAAGAAAAAGAAAAAAGAAATTCACATCTTGACAACAATATTGCTCTACAACGCTGTTTAGAACTTTATAATATGCGCGTAAGATCCTGCCTAGTCCCTGGTCTAATTATTGTTGCAATAAATTTTTTTGGCCGACAAATCTAATTGTGCATTAAATGGGCCATGGCCAATGCAAACATTATAGGCTAAAATATTTGTTAATATGTTCGATACATGGTGTATATATATATTTTTTTTGTGGAGTTGGAAAAAACAAATTGATCTCGTATCGAATCATAGTTAAGATATTCTAGATACTAAATATTCTCTAAAACATTTAGGAAGATTTTGATTTAACAAATAATAACTAAATATCATCTATCGTTGATAAACTATTGTCAAATAATTTTTATTTCATCGTTAAATCAAATAGACGTCATTCGGTCATTATTTAGTGACAGATTGACGACATTCTAGCTTAAGAGTTTTTGTTTTTGTTTTTTTTTACTCTCTTACATTTCTTGTGAGATTTTGTTTGATTCCTCGGTAATTAATGAGATTAGAATTTTTTAGCAAATGAAGTCTCGTAAATTGAGATAAATCATTTTTTTGTCCCAACTCAATTTTTACAACTAGCTGCTCTAATTTTTTTTTTTAATAATTCAGACAGAACTTACGATTTTCCACTCAAAAGTCAAAACGAACATTAAAAACTCCAAAAAAAAAAAATATATATATATATACAATTAGAGAAATAAAACACGCTTTCATATCACATTAAAATTAAACTTTAATGACTTAAAAAAATAAAGAAGTATAAAAGAAAAAAAGCTTTATTCTCGCATTGAGCAAATTGTCCATGTAACTCAGTTTAAATAAAAACTATATGGACTCTTATTGGGGAGTATTTTTGTGCTCCCAAAATAAGTGACAGGACAAAAAGAAAATCTTATTTTATTCTTTAAGTTGAGAAAATAATATAGCACAAATTATTATTTTCTACAAGTCGTTTATAAAAAAGTGATTTTCTAATCCATGATTATGTTAGTTGGATTCATGTGAGGCCCATCATCCATTGGTAGTTAGATTTGTGTCAGGCCCATAATCCATTAAACCCATTTTCCTGTCAAGGCCCTCTTATTTATGTTAAATGGCACTTCGACTTTCCCTCCTTGACACCAAAAACGAATCAATAACAAAAGTGGAGGGAAATCCCCAAACGTCCGAAAAATAAATAAAAATGTCAAGACGACGCCTCAGACTCAGCTCCTACTCTGACGACGACGACGGCGGCGACGAAGAAGTACAAAATCAACAGCAGCAACAACAAGATTATGAAATCGAAAGGGAATCAGAAAACGAATCTCTCCAAGTACCGAACCCTAACCCTAACCTTCCTGAACAACCAGAACCACTCCCAATCTCCTCCGACGAAGCTGATTTTGTCGACGTCTCCGACATCCTCACACCACCGTCTCCTCCTCTGGAGAATCATCTTCCTCCCGTGGCTCCACCCATCTCTGGTTGCCCTATTGGGGATTTTCTACTGAGAATGGGGCTTAGTGTAAAAAGAGAGTGGCTTGATTCTTGTCTTCGCCAAATTGATAACTCTCTTGATATTGAGTCCAAGGCAAAGCTTTGCTTCGGTCAGTTTTTGATTTCCGATATGAATTACTGTGGCGCCGGTGTGCTTCCTCCACATTTGGATTCTATGCACCTTGTTGATCTCCCCGGACCTTTTGTGTTGCAGGTAAATTCAATTTGATTACAAATGTTGTAAAATTAAATAAGAGAAATTTATAAAACGCGAGTGTTTATTTGCGATGAGGATAAAGCAAATTTTTAATTTTTTAGGTGGATGAGATTGTTAACATTAGTTGTCCGCTTAAAGGAAGATTTCAGGATGCGAATGCGGGGATGAAGAGGTGCCTTAAGTTGTCTATGACGGATGGTATTCAACGCGTTTTTGCCATGGAATATAGGCCTATTAAGGATCTCAAAGTTTTAGCTCCTGCAGGGTTCAAGGTTGTCTTTTCTTTCTTTCTTTTTTCCTCCCTCGCTTCTGATTATTGACGGTTTATGGAATTGGAGTATTTTTTTGTCAATGTTGTATGTTTTGTCATAGTCAGTGATGATAATATGGAGGGTCTGTGATGTGAATTTAGTAAGCTGCATTAGTAATTGTAAGGATGGTTTAGAAATATGGTAAAAACATTGATGGATTCTGTTAAAGGTTTTGAGAGATGATCATGGTTGTTGATCTGGATATAAGGTGTTTCAGGTTTGAATGGCTAGCCAAGGGGAAAATAAGCTGATACATCAAAATTTTGGTGCACAAATGATATTCTCATGTTCATGCATCGGTACTAGTTTTTGTTAGAAAAGATGGAAACTTAATTCTTTTGTATTGTAGGTTGCCATATGTAATGTACATGTACGGCATGGGCTTTTAATGTTGGTTCCTGAAGCTTTAGAAGTTCTTGGAGGAGTGGTTGAGGAGTTGGATTCAGCACGTCAACGTCTTGCTGATGAGATAAATAAGCCACCAAGGGGAAGAAGGTATGTTTTAGGTTCCTAGGATGTATTGAGCTTTCTGAAGATTTACAGCATTGTGCCATTCTTGTTAATTTGCATTTCAGTTTTGCTATTTCTATCCCTGGAAAAGGAAAATCCGCCCTTAAATGTTACTGTAAAGTGACATGCTCTGTGTGTCTTTGCCTGACCATGCCCTTATTGTATAATTTGCCATACCTTTTAAAAGTGGTTTAGGGTGATATTGGATTATGCACTGCAAGGCTTTGCATATGAAAGACTTCTTGAAGCAGAGGCATGTGTAGAAAGATGATATTGGATTATGACTAATTGTTGATTTCATAGTATTCATGGAGGTGAAAATTTGGAGGTTATTGGAAAAAGGTTTCCAGAGGTAATCATTAATAGATTTGATTAGTGGGTTACATAGGGAGATTATTTAGTTTTAGAATGGCTGTTTTCAAATGTAGGCTTTTGATCTTGCTGGTTATTTTAGTTTTAATCTTTTTAATTGGCCTGTTAGGTGAATTGAGTCCGGATCCTCAAGGGATCAGTTGAGATCCAACTATTTGTCTCCTTTAAATCCAACTCTTATAAAATATTGTTGTGCAGATCAAGGACTGGAGAGGTTCCTCCTTTAGCAAGTAGAGCTACTCTGGCTGCATGGCCGCCTAATGGAGTCAATATTCCTGGAGGCACCAATAACTCTGGTAATGCTTTTGGGCATACAAATACCTCAGTGAATGATCTTCAGAACACCAATGGTTCTGTTAATGCTCTGGGACACACCAATAGTTCTGTCAATGCTGTTCAACATACTAGTAGGTCCACAGTACAGGTTGCAACTCCCTTTCAGGAAGATGGACAAGGTTGGCCTGCATTCTTGCTTCTTCTTACAGTTTTGAGTTCCTTTAACACAATTAAATGATGAAGTTTTATAGCCAACTTGTGCATTGCATTTTGACATGTATAGTTTTCTTTCTATCTTTTGAGAGAATATTATGAGTAAATTACACCATACATGAAGTAATCTTGCTTTTCGTTTTACTGTCTTCAAATACAGAATAGGGAATAAATAAACTCTTGAATTAAATATTAGTTTAGAAAGTTTTCTTTTCTTCATTCATTCTTTCATTCTTCTTCCATATATCACTGGGAAAAAAAAAGGTCAATTGTCGAGGATATCATTAAGTCTTTTTGGTGAACCAGTTGTGAGAAGTCAACTTCACTTTACTGTTTCTGCTTCAACTTCATGCTACATTCATGTCATGTAGTATAGTTTACTGTAGCAAGACTAACAAGTGTTCATGTCAATTTATGAATGAGCAATATGCAATATCTTTTCTATTTTTTCATTCTCCTCCCCTCACCCATAGAGTGGAGTCTAGTTCAGTTGAGCAAGAATGTTGGAAAAGTCCAGCAGATTGATGTTTCTCCTAGGATATCTCAGTAACTTTCATGCTTGAGGATATATTAACCAAAAGCTACAAATTTTGGCACATTGCAAGCCTGTTAATAGCTTTTATTGCATGCTGGAATTTATTTACATATGCTAAATAAATATTGAGCTTTAATAATATGATTAAATAATTTTTCTTTTACTGTCTAACAAGAAGAATGATTTTTATTTATTTTTATTTTTTTTGTATTCATGTTTTCTAGGTGCCAATTTTGCGGTATCTGGCACTGGTACTCGTCAAAGAGCTGTGGAAGAATGTACTGTTCCAATGAGTGCAGAAAACGCTGTGCCTAATCTATCATCTAGTATTGTTTCTGATGTTGAAGAGATGCATATTAATGATCCTTCTATAAGTGGGGCAAGTTCTTTGTCTAACCAACGCTCTAGTGCTACTTTGGAGCAATATGATGTACATAGGATTGATGGATTTGAACACCCCCTCATATTATCTAGAGACCGAGAAATCCCCTTCACATACTTGGCTAGTTTGTCAGCTAAGTGGGCTGCAATGAAAGAGAGAGAACCTTCTGTTCGAGGAAAGATCAAGGTGTGTATTATCTCTTTTTGAGCTTGTGTGCATGTGTCTTATTTGTCTGATTCTTATCTTGGTGCATTAGAATTATGCTCTCCTAAAACAGCTTTTGATTTGGATTTTGATCAGCTCCACTTAGTAGTCAACTGAATTTGGTGCAATTGACTGAAATTTGGGTTGTGTGCAAAGAATTGTATGTATACTTAGCTGTTATGAAAAACAAAGTATTTTTATTGTTTCTGACTTCTATTTTTGAAATTATACTACCTTGTATTTCTGTAACATGATCATACCTGGACATGAGAAACTTCTTGATACTTGCACGAGATGCTGTAAATGATTGGATGCACACTGTCACCAGTCTTCTAGAAAACCATCTAGCTGAGCTTTCTTAATGATTGAATAACTATTTTATAAATTAACAGCTTTGTAGTTTAGAGGGTATCCAAAGAGCCATTTCCTGTAGGCTCTAAGTTCCAACCTTAGCTTTTGAATCATGCATTTATTCTTGTGTAATTTTGCTGCCTGTGGAAAAGAACAATCATATATGCTAAAATATTTTTAAAAAGCATATCGGAATGTGCTCTGATTTTTATGTCGATGAAGGGAGGAACGTGTTAAGGATGGTAATAAATTCGCCTGCAGCATATTTGTTTATTGTTTTATTTCATGAGTTTCCAGACTTTTGGGGGCCTTCTATTGTTGTAATGAAAAATACTTGTACCCTGTAACCACAATAATGCAAATTTGTTTCTTAAAAACAATCTCACATGAATACCTAAGTGTAAGACTCCTAAAATTGAGCCCCTGGACCCCATTTTGGTGGGACATAATTGGATAGTGGCCTTAATAGTTCCAACACCTTATTTTGTTGCACAAAACGAATTGTTCTGTCTCCTTTTGCCAAATAAAATTTTATACGGTGGTGCAGTGCTACATATCTGAATAAATTATCATGAAAACCAAAAATGAGTTTTCTTTTTAATGTTATTTGAGTATATAATTGAAAATACATTATATTAAACCTATATAGTAACCATCCTTTCTCCTGCTATAGTTTTTTCTAATATTTGAAATAAATTTTTTTTGCAGTGCTTCTTGACTGGCGTGAAGGGATTCCAATATAAGCAGAGGACGACATATGAGCTTCAGGTTTATGTTGATGATGGCAGCCTCATTTCTGAGATCCTAATTGATCACAATGTGAGTTCTAAGTTGAAATTTACCTTTGGATTCTATGAGGTTTGTTAAAGTTCTGAATTTTTACCAGTCATCTGTACTCTTCAGGTAGTGCTGAAAGGAATAGGTTATTCTCCTGAGGAGGTTACTGCTGCTCTTTCTTCTTCAGACACGAAGAGAGTTGGTGAAATGAAAGAGACCTTGAAACAGTTTCAGATAATCTTGGTGAATTTTGAGGTAATGTATGTTAAACCTTTAAACATTTATGAACTTGAGCTTCATTGAAGAATCATTCAAGTTCTTTTCATATGAGAACTTAATGTTCTTTAAATGCCACGTTGGTTTTTGAGGGTCTTAGTTATATTTTCAAGTATGGTTTACTTTAGTTTCACTCAATCTGGAAATGCTTTTGTCCAGGGGATAATGCTCGTAGAGATAAATGGAGCCTGTAAACTTCCCGTTGCTCTTGAGATGAACCAAGGTTGTCCTTCTTCTGATGCATGGTTGCTTATGAGAAGACTGAAGTCCTTTTCTTCTGCTCAGACAACGCAGCATTCCTCCGTGGAACCTATTGATATATCACCATAATGGCTTCACATGCTATGGTGCTCAAAGGGCAGTGAAAGTTGACTATGATTGAAATATTTTTGCAGCCTTTTCTGGTTAAAGGAGGAACCGTCTTTTAGCATGGTTATGCAGATTCCTATATCATAATCGTGCTCACCAGGCATTGTGAGAGTGCTTGAGATCTTTTTGCCGTGACGAGAAAGATTGTGGTGATGCCTGATAGGAGTTTATTTGTCACATGTATATATGGGCGAAAAGGTGAATGTTGCTGGCACTCTACCACGCATGACATTGGGTCATGTTGTTTTCACGAGACTTGTGTTTTACTGCTGATCTTAGTGACAATGGTCATCACATTAAGTCATTCCTATATGAATGGGTGAAAACTATGAACCGGAGATTTGCCAATTTTGCTTAGAAGAGATGTACATGAAATTTTGATCTAGGTGAAAATGCAAAGCCATTGGAATACGAGGGGAGAGCATTAGTCCTGAGAACGAACATTAATGATACAAGGAGAAGCCACTATCTGCTTCATTAGCTTTTAGTTGAGGTACACTCACACTCTACTCCATTAACTATTCTTCTGCTCTTATTTTCTAAGGCTCTCGAATTTCGTTTTGGTTTTTCTCAGCATAATTGCTCACATTCTCTGTAATATGCCATATTGATAAATGGGTATAACTCAACATCCTTATTTCTGTAAAATTATCACAGGATTCCCAGTAAAGTTCTAATGTGGGTTCAAAATAAATCATGCATGATATCCCAATGAATTCATCATTCATTCTGAGACAAATACATAATTTCAAGACTGGCATTGTGCAATACAGACTAGTTAAGGAAACTTCTATGATAACCAGACATGAAGCAGGAAGCTTCCCTTACATGCTCAGGGCATAAGGTCAAACTTCTATGGATGCCAGATCTTCCTTCATTGAGTTACTAGAGGGAAGATCTTCTCAGTAATTCTCATCTCCAATCTGTTATAGATTGACCTTGTTACAGTTAAAAATAAATGGTTGCTCCACTCTAGTATGTCAGGGCAAAAATTCTTCTAATAAAATAGGGAACGGTACCAAGCTGGTTCAACCAGGTATTTCTCTCCTCGGCATGCACCATTCACAATTGCTTTGGCACACTCTGTGGTAGACTCCACTGGCGTCATACCTATCATAGCCTAACAAGCAATTCAATCGTGTAATAAGTAGAATCATATAATTGAAGAAGACTTTGACTACATAATTGTATCACGTGAATGGAAATTTACAGTCCTCGTTTCTTCATCTAATTCCAATCTGCCTTGCTGGTTTAGGAATTTTCCTTGTGTCATTTCTGACTTGATCAATCCAGGAATAACAATTGTTATTCCGATCTTCGATCCCAATTCTACTCTCGGTGTCTCATACATGCTATATACAGCTGCTTTACTTGCCTATAAACATGATGAAAACAGAATGGATATTAATTGAAGTAACATGCAGAGAGACTTGAAGGATGTGGATGGAAAATCTTACATTATAGAAGCTTAGTCGTCGGGTAGGTAGAAATGCGGCAACTGAAGCAATCGCTATGATTTTTCCATTGCTACTTTTTATGTCCTGCAAGAAATGAAATTTAGCATAGCAAATGAATGGAAACATGAGTTTTTATGGGATGCTATTCCTTGTTCATCTGAAAAATGGGAGGTGATTTTAAGGGTTTGTATACCATAGCTGGTGCAAAAGTAGTGAGATCAGGGATATCTTCAAGCTTGCCCAATGGTGCAACCCCAGCGTTGGCCACTAGATGATCCACTGGTAACGAATAACAATCAAAATTTTATCATTTTAGTTCAAGAGAATTCCCAAGATAAATCGGAAATTGTTTGGTACTGCTGAGAGCTTGGACTGTCTACTTACATCGGCCGAAGTGCTTCACTGTTGCATCGATAAATCTTTCACAATCTTCGACCTTGGTAACATCTCCAGGGATGAAAATAGCTTCAGGGGACCCAATCAGCTCAGCCATGGCAGCAACTTGTATCAGACGTTCCTCTCTTCTTGCAACAAGGGCTAAACAAGCTCCTCTCCTAGCATACTCATACGCCAAATGCTTCAAAACCACAAAGCACATTTTTTTAATTTCATGATTATCCTATAATAACAAGAAAAAACAAGGTTTTACATGGAGTATAGAGTTAGCCAGCTGCTATATATAAACCTCGCCAATGCCAGAGGATGCTCCTGTGATGAGTATTGCTTTCCCTGCTACATCTTCCCTGAATATTGTCCTCAAAGTGGAAAACACAACCCGCCAAAAGTGGTAATTCTTTAGGAAGCTGAAGAGTGCTATTAAGGCTGCAGGGGCGACTACAAGGTTCATAAGGGTGTTGATCAAATCCATGGTTTCCTCCACAAAGAAGAGACAGAAACTGGAAGATGAGGGATGATGTGAGTTACTGATAGATCATTGTTGGTTCCCTTGATTGCCACGTACCATTTATGCATGTAGAAGATGTAACGCGTATTCGTGTTTGGTTGATTGACAATTCATTGAAATGTCATTATTTATAGTGTAATTAAAGCCACATGAATTGTATTTGTACTTGGCTTAGACCAGCCCTATGATCCTTCCATAGTCCATAGTAGAGAAATTTTACCATGGACGAGAAATTTATAATTAACTAGTGGTATATATAATAATTACTTTATCGATCCATTTTAAGAAGAGAGATAAACATATTGAATTACATCTAGATCCATCAAAAGTGATAAAAAGATTTTTAATATTGGCTCAAAATTTTTTTTAATTCTCTTTCCTGTTTCTTTGTTTTTTTTTTTGTCTATCTTTATCTTCAAAATAGATCCATTGAAATAACTACTCGTATATGTCACTAGTTATTACTTGTGTATTATAAAATTTCTCGTCCATAGTATGCTAACACTTGCTATATGCTACCTTTAATTAAACACAGAACTCATATTTTCATTCCAGTTGGTTAGGGGTTATATTGATCAGGTCCGACTCCCTCCTGTCACAAAAGTTTTATCCTCTTTATATAAATATTGTCATCACATGCAAGGTTGAAGTGCGTAAGATCATAGAGATGGAGACGATTCATGAAAGTTAAAACATCTTTTGAGTATAAATTGGTACAATTGCATGCCCATGTTTATTCTGCAGATGAGCTAATCGAATCTGCATAAAATATATGTGATCCATTAATATAGAAACCATCGGAAAAACAGGACCAATGCTTCAGGATATAGTAACTTTAAGAGAAATGAAACTCTGGCCCCAGATGGCACTGTCAGGTACATGTCTCCCCGACAACTGCTCTTCACAATTTCCTTGGCGCATCTTTCCACTGACTCTCTTAGGAATCTCTTCATGAATAATAAAGCCATATTGAAATAACATGCAATCGTCAGTACCTCATCTCTCTCGGAAGGTTTCAATGGCACGTTTTGTTCCTATACTCTAATTTCAAGAGCAAAACCTCATAGAAATCAGAAGTAGAGATACAAAACTTATCACTGAAGGAGTTTTTTTTTCCTTTCTTTTTTAAAGCAAATAATGAGTACTCTGCATTTTTTTTTTTTATAAACCTACTTACTGCCTACCTTTAACTCCTGTGTAAGAATATCTGTCTCGATCGCTCCAGGAGTCACAATCGTTATTCCAATTTTTAGGCCACATTCAATCCTCAGTGTCTCGTAAAAGCTCACTAAGGCTGCCTTGCTTGCCTGAAGCCGTGTATGCATAATTCATTGCAAAATAAACTAATCAATGAAATTTAGAGAAACAAGAACTTAACTTAACCAAATATGTCGAGGATATTTGTACGTTGTAGATGATCAATCTTGGTGGTGTTAACCAAGCAGCCACTGATGCAATCCCAACAATCTTGCCTTTGGTTTTCTTCAAGTGTGGAATCGCGAATTGCGTGCAATGAACTGTACCCCAGAAATTTACATCCTATATATGTAAACCAAAACAAGAAGAAGATGAGTGTAGACTTATATACATATAAACTGACAGCAAAAAGTTTTACAAAATTTATTTTTAAAGTTTTGGTGTTTCTTATGATAACTTTGTTCAGAGCAATAGAAGGAAAAGGAAAAGGAAACTAAGAATCAAAGTGATTCTAGCATTTTAGTCGTAAGGTTTGGCCAGACACTTTATAAAAATGCTGAATGCGTAGGCCGAGTTCCCCGATCAATCGAAGGTAAAAAATGGCAAATGCTTATTTAATAAAATAAATAACAACAGCCCTCTAAAGTATCGTGAAATTACAGAAAATATTCAAAATTTTGAAGACAGGATGACAAAAACTCCTTTCACGTTTAAGAAAACATTAAAACCTTTTTGTATCCAAAATTCTCTTAATTACTATTTAAAGAAAATAATTAAATGAGTTTTTCTTATATATGGTCCTTGTAGTTTTAAATTATTTTGATTGAAATTCTATATTTTTTTATTGATTAAAGAAAATAATTCTATATTTAAAGAAAATAATTAAATGAGTTAATTACACCCGTGTCCTTGTATTTTGTTTAAATTAATTAATTAGTTCTTGAAATAATATAAATAATATAATCTCTTGATTTTCCATCCTTATGTTGTAGTTTTTTTGTTTCAAAAATCATTCTTTCCCAATCAATTTTTTTTTCATCTCTAAATATTACAGAAAAAAAAAATACTTGTACAATTTATCCTACTCTAAATAAAAGAAAAAAAAATGGAATTTGCGGAGAGACTATTTAATATAAAGATTAAATATATAGTTTCAAAAACACGAGGACTAATTAATTAATTAGTTTCACTACACTGCAAGGATTAAGCCATAATTAACTCTTTTCTTTACTAAGGAAACTCATGAGTAAATTTAAATTTAAATTTATTAAAATTGGAGATTATATTCTAGGTTTTTTTTCCCTCAACATAAGATAGATTGATTAAAAAAAAAAACTAAAATAGGGCATTTTAATTTTATTTCCCAAATCAAAGTATTGTTGACATATACTCATCAACTAATGTCATCTTTGTTTGCTTTTATGTATTAACTAGAGTCAAGATAAATCCTAAAAGTTGTAGGGAAAAAAAAGATAAATTTTGAAATCTTATCAAAAAGATTTTTATCGACATCAAAGTTTTATTAGTTTTGTTATAAGAATTTGTGTTTAAGGATAATACTTGTACAATTAATTTGATTTTTTAATTAAATACTAATTTGTTCAACTTTGATATCATTAATTAAAAAATCACTCATATAGCATACATGGCCAAAAAAAAAAACAAAAAAAGATAAATTTTAAAAAATCTAAAAAAAGAAGATAAATCTCCAAACCTTAGAGGCTCAACTTGTCGACTTCTCGTGCTACATAGTGAATTAAACTAAATATATTTATTTCAGTTTAATAATCTCTATTATGTTGTCGATCTACTAAAATATATTAAATAAAAAATAAAAAATAAAATTTCATCTAATTTTATATTTTTTTAATAATTTTTTTGTTATGTATTCATTCCTAAATAAAAAATTATAATAATACCAATAAAAAATTTAATATAAAAGTTTAAAAAACATCTTAATATTTTTTTTTCATAAGATTGCATCGAAAAAATAAAGCAACAACTAATATAAGAACTTGTATAAAAATTAACCAATGAATCTTTTTTTAACTTTATAAAAATATGTACATTTGATTTATATATGTTTATTTACAAAACAATTAATAATATTGCTATAAAAAAGACATATTTGAATTATTAGATGGTTCTTCTAAAATATTATTTTAATTATTTTATTTGAAATAAATTAATTTTGGAATATTAAAAATAATTAATAACAAATGATTGGTGTTATGTGTGTAGATTTATAATTAATTTTTAATAAAACTAACGATCTTAATTTTTTTTTATACATAACAACCATGCTCGGCAAGCTAGAGTGTGAAATTGAAAATTTTTTTTTTAAGAAAAATTAATCTATAAGGAATATGTTGAAGTTAATACAATGTAATAAAAACTTATTCATGAGAATTTCATAAGAAAGGACAAATTAAAGAGATTAATTTTAAATAATAAAAATAATATAATTCTATATATATTTATTCTAAAATTTCAAAACATGAGAGATAAAAATGGAAGAAGGAAAAAAGATGAGGGGTGAATATAACTATGAAAACCATAAGGGATAAAAAAAAATGTCTATAGAAAAAAAATTAGGGATCAAAATGAGATAAAGTGTAAAAATTTTGAAATGAGTAAAAAAACAAACTACCAAAAAATCATGAAAATACTATTTTAAAAATTACAAAAACTGCCACCCACGAGCAGTAAATAAATAATGATTTACTGTTCATTTATCTCAAATCTTTTAATTTTTTTTTGAAACATATATAAATAAAACAATAATTACACCAATCGGAAAAAAACATACCCTAACCTTTGTAAACAGCCATCTCCTGCAGTGTTAATAAAATCTAAAACTAGAAACTCAAATGTAATTTACTACTATTGTGGAGAATCTATCTTTGATAAGTTTTCTTCTCGTCGAAGGTAACTCGATTATTATGTGCCAATGTTTATGTCCAAGTTCTATGCAACCTTTTTCATCCAATCCCAACAAAAATCGCCATTTGAATTCTTCTTTTAATTGCTAGTCATTGGTGCTAGAGATTAGAAAGCCTTTCGCATAAGATTAACAGATAAATCGGTTCCTTCCAGCTTCGTTTCAATTGCTCTAAACGCAATCTCTGCCCAGCCTTAATTTTTTTGTAATAAAGATTATTCATTGACATAAGGTTTCAATCTCAATCTCTGCTTGTTCAACTTTTCCTCTTTTAATTTGATCGAAGCATTTTGTTTTAATAATATTCCATAAAAATGAAATAGGCAAAAAAATATCTTAATTCGTGACATAAGATTAAACGTGTCCTACTTTAGTAAAAAAAAAAAAAAACCTTATTTATTTATTTATTATTTCAACTTCATTAAAAAAATAAATCAGGGTAGATTAGTCTGGACAACTTTCTATAAATATCGCCAGAGTTCCTCAATATAGATCTGTTCAGAATGGCTACGCTTGACTAAATATATAGCTAATATGTGAACAAACGATTAGCTAAAATGTGAGCAATCTTATAGTATGCACAACTACTATAAGTGAAAGTATATGAATGAATCTGATTAGTTAGAGATTTAGAAGATAAATAACTACTATACTCTACTTAATAAAATATAAAACTATCTTATTTTGGAAAAAAAAACAAAACAAAAAAAAACTCGATTATATTCAATAATAAAAGAGAGAGAAAAAAAAGTTACCTAAACCAACTAAAATTTGAAAGTTAATGCACATCTAGTTTACATTAAAGAATATTATCGACTCAATAATAATTATGAATTAGTCCCTTTTGTTTTAAGAAATAAATTAATTTTTCTTTAAAATTTTAATTTTGTCAATAATTTAATCTTTTTATCTGTTTTTCATTAAAATGGTGATGATGAAGAGTTCTTGTTTTAGTTCTTAAATTGCTTTTTTTTTTTTTCTTCATGCATTATTTCTCTCATTGATGCCCATCTATTTTTTTTCTTTCTCCTCAAGCAACAAAACAAATCCCTATTTCTCTTTTCGAATTTTCTTTCCTTAAATCTCAATTTCTCATTTTAGTAATGTTTGTTCCCTTTCTCTTTCCTCAAGTATCAAAACATATTTCCATAGATGAATATATTTGTTGAATAATATTTTAATTATTAAATGTTAATTTTACGGATCCGACAAAAAAACTCGATTATATTCTTAAAAAATTAAGTTGTATTACTTAATATAAAAATCTTGTTTGATAACTTAAATGATCTCATATTAAAACTTTAAGTTCGGTTAAAATCTACTTAATCGGATAAGTTAAAATTTTTAACTTATCCGATTAAGTCAAACTATCTAAATTATACTCTCTCTCTCTCTCTCTCTCTCTCTCTCTCTCTCTCTCTATATATATATATATATATATATATATATATATATATCGAATTTATAAATTATAGTAATATATTTTGAAAAATAAAATACTCATTTGAAAAGCATAAAAATAATTCATTATATAAATTATAATAATATATTTTTAAAAAATAAAATATCGACGTTATAAAATTTTATTCCAAAATTCATATATTAAAAAATCAAATTTATTAACAAATAAAATGATATCAAAAATTAATTTGATGAGAATTTTAGTAAGAAAAAAATAATTGAAAAAAATAAATTCTAAACAATAAAAGTAATATAATCGGATATATATGTTCAAACTAAAATCTTAAAAAATATCATATATATTCTATCATCTTTAAACAAGCTTATTAGATTCGGTACTTAATTTTTAGTAAATACCAAATAGCTTGTCATGAATATATTCGATACTTAATGATTCGACACTTAAAATTCGGTACTTAATAGATTCAGCACTTGATTTTCAGTTTTATCAAACATCACCTAAATGATTAATTTTTAAAATAAAAAAGATTAATTTTTTTTTCAAAACAATAGGGACTAATTTATAATTTACTCACTAAATAATTCCTAAGTAATTTGAGGTCTAGAACTTTTAATTACTAAAGTAACTAGTGATGAATGAATGGAGATGATGATGATATTTACCATAACGGGAGCCGAATCAGAGACGTTTGTGCAATTTTCAAAGAAGTCAGAAAGAAGCATCCCCGCATTATTAACCAAATGATCCACTGTTGCACAACGTCAAATAAAAGCCATTAATTACATGCCTTAAATTAAAATTTGTCGTTTATTCCCACATGCAAAAATAGGTATAGTTTAAATAAAGAAATAATTTTCTCCTTTATACTCACATTGGCCAAAGTGGTTCGCTGCCTCGTCAACAAATCGCTTGCAGTCTTCAACATTGGAAACGTCTGCTCGGATTACAAAAACATCCGGCGATCCCAGTTGAAGGGCTTTTTGAGCGACGATTCGAAGACGCTCCTCCCTTCTTGCGGCGAGGGCTAAACGAGCTCCTCTCCTAGCGTACTCGTAAGCCACATGCTTTATGGGCATAAAAATAAATAAATAAATACTAAACGGCATATTAATTACAATTTAGTTTGAAGTTCGTTAAAGATTCATTTAATCTAAAAACATAAATTGTTGGATGAGTAATTCTCTCATGTTTATAAATGAGTAGCATCAATGTCATGTTGATTACATTTAAATCATTAAATTGAAATTGAATACTAATTATTTTTTATTATTATAAAAGGATTTAAATTTATTGATGATATCTTAAAATATGATTTTATTATATCCGCTAACACACTCCTTTAAGAAAAATCTTTTGGATTTATAATTTATATAAGTCTCCATTATTTTATGTTAATTTAATTTTTAATGAGAAAGAATTGAAAAAATTTGATAGGAATTAAATTCGTGATTTTTTGATTATCAAAAATTTGATTACATATTAAAAAAATATTTCTAACCTAAAGATTTAAATAGTTAAATAACACCTCAGAAGTATACAATATTTATCTCTTTACAATTCATTTGTGCAAGTTAAGAAATTTCTTTTTAAAAAAGCATATAATGCTTTTTTTCAAGGATCAAATTAAAATTCTGAGCAAAAAAAAATCAATATATGATCATTTTCTTTCTAATAGGAAGAGAGGAAACATCTTCCACTTTCTAGCAGTTACATATGTTAAGAAAATATATTTTAGGAACAAAAAATAAATATACTTTTATTCATAGGGTTCCGATTGAAATTTTTAAAGAAAACATACTGAATTGTTATATTGTTAAAGGATGGGAATTCCTTTCGGAGAGTCTGAAAAATCTGTCTAACTTTTCATCTAAAAAAAGAAAAAAAGAATCTTAGCAATACAATCCTATTTTCTCTTTTAACTTAAAATAACCTCTTTCAGTACAATGAAATTACTAAGACCACTAAAATTTTTAAAAAATATTACATAAATCTCCATTTATATCCACAATACATTTACTATTAAATATTTTAAATTATCTTTACTATAAAAGGGTATTATTTTAAAAATAATAAAGAAATTTTGGATACAAACCAAAAGGAGGCTCTGGTGATATTTTCTTAAATATGAAAGAAGTTTTTATCAAGTTTTTAAACTTTTAAATAGTACTATTTTAAAAAAAAAAATTATTAGAGAGAACAAAGATTCAAATCTTTTGATTAGTTAAAGAAATTCTGATATCAAATTAAAAAATTATTTTAATTTAAAAATTTAAATTATTATGTGAAAATAAAAAATTTTTCTATTATTCTCTAGCATCATGCAATTTTACTATATTTTGAAGGGTTATAGTAAATTATTTCTATTTTTAATAGGTAAATCTCAATATCCAATATTGTTAATTGGGATTGGATGGGATACTAGGGTTACATGCCTCGCCAATACCAGATGATGCTCCAGAAATAAGCACAACTTTCCCAGCCACATTTTCACTGAGTATGGATCTTCTTATGCAACAAAGCCACTTGAAAATAAGATATGGTGGGAAGAATAAGAGTGCGATGATTGCTTCGAGAGGAAGAACGATGTTCATGAACTTCAGGATCAACTCCATGGTTGGGTACGATGGGAAGTGAAATGAGTTGCTGCTTGCTAGCTATTTCAGTTTTTCGAGTGAAGAGAACAGTTACAACCAGTCTAGCTAGTTGCTAATTGGAATGAGAGAGGCATGTGTGAAACCATTAAAATATGAAAATGGAATAAAAGGTTGGCATTGAATGCATGCATATGCGAGCTCTTTGCGTAATAATGATAGTGATAGATGATGTCGTATGGCAGTACTTGGTCGGTGGGTAGTTGGTCATTTCCTGCCCATGTGGTTGTCCGGACAGCTTTCTCAACCAACCAGCTGAATTCCTTATTGAATTTCCATCAATCAACTAATGAAGTTTTTAAAAAATTACAAAAACTTTAAAAGACTTCAGGGTGAGACTGCTGCTGTTTACCCTCACTTATTGTACTGTAGACCAAGACCCAGGTGTATTATTCTCAATCCATTGTTAGTTTATCCAGTGTTGGATCTTCCTGCTTTTCTTGTTGTCACATTTTGAGTCGTTCGATCTCTAGTTTTTAATTTGCAAATGATTTAAGTATTCTGCACGAACGTAGATTTCGTCCCTTGATTTGTTGCCTTTAGTCCTCTGATTTTTTTCATTTTAACTTTTGGTTCTCATGAGCCCTTTCTTTCGTCCTTAGTTTTTAATTATTTATTTTTTATACCATTAGATTATGTTGTCATTACAGTTTTGCCCTCCTCTCTCTTTTTGTTCTCTTGGCATTTTCATGCCTTTTTTTGTAATTTCCCACATCCATTATCATTTTTTTCCCCACACATTCTCTTTCTACAACCTCTCTCTCTCTCTCTTTGCAATAATTGAAGGAAGAAAACTCAGGTCAGTTTCGCCTTTCTCTAAAAAAAAAAAAAAAATCAAAGATCTCTCCGTATTCATTTTTTGTTTCCAATTCTCTTTAAATCTTATAACACTCTTGCTTTTATTTTTATTTTTTCTCTATTTTCATATTGAAAAAGTGACTAAAGATTTGTTGATGTTGGGGAGGCCAGCCGAAGGCTCTTTTGAACTTTCTCTATTTTTGCTGAATTAGAGTTGTTATTAGATTTTACAAATATATCCAAATCAAAATCTATCAGCTTTTTTCGATGATATGTTTGATTGCTAAATCCTAACATTAGTAAATTCCTTGGGTTTAAATTTATAAGATAATGGAATCTATTTATATTAATATTATTGTCTAAGGAGATGGATGGATTAATGCTCTCAATCTCCAATCCTTTTATTTTGGTCTTTAATGTCAATCTAGATCTTAATTTTTATACTCACTGATTTTTTATTGTTTGTTTGTTTGTTTTTAATTTCTTTTATTTGTGTAATTTTTGGTGTTGGTGAAACAATTAGATTATAAAATACTATGGATTTTTAAATTATCGGGGGGCCACTTTGTTTTTTGAAAACTTCTTTCAATGCATCTTTATGCAATATGCTCCAATCACAACTGATTTTTTCATGCAAAATTAATTTATAACATGTAAACATGACCTTATCTGTGTGTTTTTATTTTAATGTATAATCTAATATATCAAACCAATAACTTTAAGAATTAAAAAATTAACAAGATGCGAAACTGTTGTTGTTGCTTAATGGTTAGTATTTAAATTGCTCATTGAGCATGTAATGTGTTCCAACTGTCTAAGACTCTTAGGTTTTAGAATTATTAGACCTTTAGGTCTCTCATAGAAAGAAAATAATAAATAAATAAATAAACTAGATGTAAACACAAGGAATTTTTTATCATGTTGCAATGCCAAAAAAGTTGCTAATATACATAGAAAGACTGGTAAATGTTCTCTCTAATTCCCCTCTAGTGCTCCCTTTTATATATTGGTAATATCATATGTAGTGCTTATGAGATTGAGATGGCATAGGATGATAGGAATGACCCTTCGAATTTTTAAAAATTTACCTTTTGGCTCTAAAAATTTGAAAAGAAATTAATTACACCATTCAAATTAAATAAGTCAAAGAAAATAATCCTTAATTCGTATGGTATAATTACCTTTTTTTCAATAGCTTAGGAGTTCTTGATAAACAAAGAACCCTAAAAGAAAGAGATGGAGTTTTTATTATTCTTAGACTATTTACACACTCACGGAACATTATTCACTTTATGACATTTTTTTGATTTTAAATCAATGGCATTTTCATTATTTTAAACATTCTTTTATTTTAAGTTAGTGGTATTTTTCTTATTAAAATTTTTTTTTACGTCTTTATTCCACCCATATAACTGTTCACCCCCACAACTAATTTTGAGGTTTTTTTCTTAGATATGTTGATCTTTTGTCCTCATTTTTTTAATAATTTTTATTTTGATTTATAATTTTATTTGTATTATAATCGATTGCTAACTCGCTAAGATGAGAGAGAAATGAAAAGAGATGAGAGAGGATAGAGAAATCTATGTATGAATTTTTTAATGAATTTTTAGAATATTTCTATTTGTTCTTTTAAAAAAATTAATATAATTTATATGACGAATTATTTTAATTCTTAAATGATAGTAGCATGGTTATATATATATATATATAATCTAAAGATTAAAAGTGTTTTTTAAAATAATTTGTCTTTTTTTTTTGAAAAAAAATTATAAGAAATTGTTTTAGTTAAGAATCCATGAATTTTAGAATTTTTATTACAATTTATTAGTTAAGAATCCGGATATAGAAGAATAAATCATGTTTTTTAAGAGAAAATTTATAAAACAAATAGAGTAAATATTTAGTTAAACACATATATTTTTTTTAAAAAAGAGTTTTTTCTGTTTCAATTTGATATATTTTAGTAGCTAACAATATAACACATACCATCAAATTAAAATTATTTTTAAAATAAAATTTTATATGTTACGTCCGAGCTCGAAACATAACGCGGGTAAAAATCTAGTTATTCACTAAAAGAAAATTATTTGCAGAGACGAAACTACGTGTTGATTGATAGGGTCCATGGCACCCTAAACTTTGGAAAATTATATGTTTTAATCTTGAAATTTTTAATTAAAATCTTCAAGTTACATGTTTTGCACTCTAAAAATCTACTTTTTTTTTTATTCGTCCTCCAATCTTAAATTCTGGTTCCTTTTTTTGTTGTTTGGGGTAATGGCTATTATCTTGTTCTTTTACCTTTTTTTTTTTTTTTTCTTTTTTAAGTCTGCCCTCTACGTTTAGTTTTTGTATTAAGTTTGTCTATCATTTACTGTTTTGGACTGATGAAATTAAATCGCATTATTAGCTTCACAAAATTGCAAAATGTGTCAATCTTTTTTTTTTTTTTCATTTTAATCTCGAACATCTACTCTTTTTTTTAGTGAAAATAAATAAAAAAACTTAAGAAAAAGGTGAAAATAAAAATATATTTTACAATACCTCAAAAGAATCTATTATAATTTAATTCTTTTTATTTTACAAATTTCTTAATATGACTCAAAAGTGGAAATATAAATTTTGTTTTGTTTTGTTTTTTTTTTTTTTTTGAGAATATTCACTCAAATGTGGTTGAAAAACTATAAATACCATTCAAAAAATTTAAAAGTTTCACTAAAACTCTCTTGACATTTAAAGAAAATATTATAAATATTTTATTTTATACTCAAATTATCTTACTATCATAAAGATAAATTTAAATCCATAAATGATATTTTGGATAAAAAAATATCTTTATCATCCCCCCTTTTTTTTTACTAAAAAAAGAGTAGAGGGATGAAATTAAGATGAAAAAACAAGATGACACTTGTCACAATCTTGTAGAGCTAATGATACGATTTAACACCGTTATTCCAAAAAGTTAAAAAATAGACAAATTTAAGACATAAACCAAACGTAAAGAGACAAAATTAATATAAAAAAATAGGCATAATTAAAATGAAAGAAAGAGCAAAGAAATCCACTATAAAAGAAAGAGTTTTCCTTTATATATATATATATATATATATATATATATATATATATATATATATATATATAGTTTTTAAGATAGAGAAATTAAAGAGAGAAAAAATAGGATTGTTATATTCTTTTTATAAATTCTATAGAAAGAAAGTATAGATTTTTGGTGCATAAATTATTGAGGTTTTCTCTACCGTTGATTTTTGGATATTACAATCACATAGAATTGAAATGTTCAAAATAATAATCACACACAATATTAAGCTTCGTAGAAAAATAAAGATTTCATAGATTTTAAGTTATCGTGATTGGATCGATTTACCTTCGGATGTAACTTATATTACCGTAAATATTTTTTCTTCTCAAGTTTGTCACTATCCAATATTTAGAGAACTTTCAAAAAATTTTATGAAAAAAATAAAAAAGGATTAAGAAAATAGTTTGGAGTCACCATCTAGTATTAAAAGTAACCAAAAACCTAAAAAATGTACTTGGATTCGGAGATTTTTGGATAAATAGTTGGTTATATCTTTAGAAAGATATTGATCATCCAAAGACACTTTTTTTCAAAAAAAGGTACCATGTTTGGTTTAATTCTATAAATGTCTCCTAAGAATTATATTTGCCGAATTATTTCCTAAGTCTATATTCAAGCTTAATTATCATCTAGGTCAATTTAATTTTTTTTTTTTTTTGTGGCATCACATTAAATTGACGTTTGGTTCTAAGACCGAGAGTCACATCAATTTAGCATCGGATTCATCTATGTCCTGTTATGATTGACATGTTGAGGAATGACCTAATTAACTAAATGTGTTTTATTTGGACGTAGATGAGAAGATGTTTTCAAAATTAGTTCTTTTATGATGACATCATATTAAATTTGATGTTGGACTCCAAGGTTAGGAGTCATTTCAATTTAGCATCGGATCTAATTACGTCCTAAAATAATTGACATGTTGAGAAATGACCTAATTAGCTAAATGTATTTAAATTGATTTACGTTTATCCTAACTAGTTTTCTTTCTTTTCTTTCTTCCTTTTTTTTTTTTTAATTTTTTATTGTGGGTTGAGACTAACATTAGTGCTTATTCATATAAGAGATTAGTTAGGTCGATTTAAATTTTCTTAATTATCCTAAGATGATGTATTATTTTTTAATTGTAAGATAAAAGTCGATCGGAGATCATCATCATTCCCTAAAACCTAGGAGACTTGATGATCTCTCATCCTGCTGAATAAACAGTTAACATATTACACTATAATTATAATGTAGTTGAATTGAAAACAAATTACAAATAAACAGCAAAAAAACTTCAAAAATTATGAAAATTAAAATACAAATCGAGAACTAGCATAGGTATAAACTCTAAAAATTTTAGATTAAAATAAGAAAATGTATTGAGCTTAAAATTTAAATTTTGAAACAAATCACATTAGTAATTAAAATGACGGTAGAATGGTAAATAAATTATAAATAAATATAAAATGAACTCATAAAATTATGGAAGTTAAAATACAATACATGGAAAAACATTTATTCAAACCCTAGGAATTTAGGATTGAAATATTAAAAGGTATTGGAATTAAAATCAACTACTAAAATAAAGTACATTAATAATTTAGATAAATGGCAGAAGAATAATAAATACAAAACAAATAGTAAATGAACTCATAAAATTACAAAACTTGAAACACAAGGCATGGACAAACACATGTACAAATAATAAAAGTTTCAGATTAAAATATTAAAATGTATAGGAATTGAAAAATCAACTGTTGAAATGAAGCACATTAATGATTAAGATAAATAGCGAGGACAATAAGAACTATTAAATATATAGTAAAGGAACTCATAAAATTATGAAACTTAACATACAAGATATATACAGGCATATATACAAACCTAAGAGTTTCAAATTAAAATAATAAAATTTATTGGAATTAAAAATCAACTACTAAAATAAAATACATTAATAATTAAGATAAATGTCGAACAATAATAAATATTAAGTAAATAGTAAAAGAACTCATAAAATTATGAAAATTAACAAAAAAGTTATGGACAAACATATTAAGCACACCCTAAAAATTTTAGATTGAAAAGAAATTAAACACTAGACCAAATAATTAAGTTCCACAAAGAATCTACATTAATAATTAAAAATGAGGCATAATAATAACTAACTATCAAATAAATGGTAAATGAACTTTTAAAATTATAAAATTTAGAATACATTGTAAGAACCAACACATAAACAAATACTGAAAAGTTCAGATTATAATATAATTAAACACTGCACTTAATAATTAAATTTTTAAAATTAAAATTTTAAACACATTCACATTGATAATTAAAACAACGGCATAATAATAAATAAATTTTGAAATAATAGTAAATAGACTCATAAAATTATAAAATTTAATACACATGCTAAGTAAAAACATATAAACAAACCTTAATAATTTTAGATTAATAACAATTGGGCTTAATAATTAAATTTAAAAACAACCTCACACTAATCGTTAAAATATTGGCAAAATAAATAAATTAGTTAAAAAATAGTAAATGGACTTCAAAAATTACCAAATTTAAAATCTAGGTTAAGGACAAATACATGAACAAATCTTAAAAAGTTTAGATTCAAAAAACACTTTAACATTGAGGCTAAGGACTATTTTTGTTTTTAATTTTATTTTTATAAAAGCATATGATTCTGAAGCAAGGAGGCTTTTCGATCCTATGCATCCTTCTTGAAATTCCTTGGCTTAGAGATGAAAAGCCAGCTGATACACCATTCCAGGGCATCTGGACAAAGCACCCTGAACAGAGAAAATATTCCTACCCAAGATGGCTCTGTCAAATACCTGTCTCCACGGCAAGCGCTGTCCACAATTGCTTTAGCACACTCTTCAGCTGATTCAATAGGGATGCTTTGAAATTTAGCCTGACCAAAATCACACCCAAAAAACAATGAGGAAACGAATGCTGTTTTCGAATAGGATGGAGTAATGCGTTGAAAAATGAAAAAAATTTCACGAATTGATAACAAATAACAATACAAAATAAATTATCAAAATTATGAATTGAATTACTAGTATTGTTGCTTTTTTTGCTTATCTATGTTAAACCAATCTTATATCCTTCTTAACGATATTTTTTTTATGTGATCTTGTACATAATCTAAATTGAAAGCAATATTGATCCAACTACAAATGGCTCATGGCAGACAAGATAGACATCATATTCCGATAAATTAGATAATCGTGCCTCATTTCTGACTTCTTTAGGCCCACCTTTGATTGTAGCTCGCCTGTGGTCATTTCTGACTTCACAAGCCCAGGAGTCACAATAGTTATCCCAATATCTGAACCAAATTCCACCCTCAGTGATTCATATAGGCTTATTAAGGCTGCCTTGCTTGCCTGAAGGCATTTAAGAGATACAAACTGATCAGCCACGCAAAGTAAAAGAAGACTCAAGATTTATATTTTGTGCACTAAGCATGTTTCTTACATTGTAGATGCTTGACCTTGGTAAAGAGAGATATCCAGCAGCTGAAGAGATCACAATAATTTTCCCTTGACTTCTTCTTAGGTATGGAACTGCAAAATAAGTTCCATACACTGAACCCCAAAAATTTATGTCCTACAAAAGGCATCAAATGTGAATTCTCTTCATCTAATAGGCAACTTCAATTCAACTTCAGAATGGATAAACTTTTTTTTTTGGAACAATGGAAAGTACTAGTGGTAGAAAAGGCTGACAATTTTTTTTTTTTTTTCAGCTTAATAAAAAGAGATATATGCGACTATCATCTTCAATCACGTACCATTACAGAAGTCAAATCAGAGATGTTGGTAATTTCTTCAAACAAGTCAACACAAGCAATCCCAGCATTATTCACCAGATGATCCACTGCAGCATATGTGGATGGAGCCAATGCATAATTCAAGACATAGTACTAGATCAGCCTCATGTTTTTAATTCTCCTCAAGCAACAAAAAATTGGAAAGAAATTGTACTTACTCTGTCCAAAATGTTCCATTGCCTCATCAACAAATCTCTTGCAATCTTCAACCTTGGAAACATCAGCACATACCGTTATAACATCTGGCGAACCCATCTTCCTGGCTTCATTTGCAACTTGTTGAAGACGATCCTCTCTTCTAGCAACAAGCGCTAAACGAGCCCCTCTCCTTGCATATTGGTATGCAATTTGCTTAAAAAACAATAGAAATTCAATAAATATGTTATTATATAACGTAGGTCGTTTATAGAAAGAAACTTTAAGTGGTTATGCTAGCTCGGGACTAACCTTGCCGATGCCGGAAGATGGTCCAGTTATAAGTACTACTTTCCCGGCCATGTCTTCGCTGTATGTAAATCTTTTTATGCAACTAAGATACTTGAAAACAAGGATTGGTGGCAAGATTATAAGAAACACAACGACTGCTATAGGAGGAAGTAAAATATTCATCAACTTATTAGTCATATCCATAACTTTGCAACAGTATGGATAAGCAGAATTGTTAAAATCTCCCAGCTTAGAGGAAATAAGGGAGCATATTTATTCTCCTTTCTGGATGAACGAACTCAAAATACATGGCTGGCAAATTTATGACAAAATTTTTTTCATACGGATCACTAGCATGTGTAACACGTGCAGCATGCCAATGCTTCACTATATAAGAAGCTATCATCTTTATAATTTGCCGGCCGGGCCTACCTATGGTCCCATCTTGCCTTCATTCAAAGAACTACAGGGTAGAGTACTAGGTACTCATGTGTGGACAATAATTGTATGGCATGCTGTCTCAAATAATTTAAGATTTGTACGGTTGTTTGTCTCAAATAATTGCCAGTTTCAAAATTTAAACTTTCTTACAGGCATGATGTCTCAAAACTAAAACTTTACAAAAAGAAAGAAAATAACTTACCATGTATCTTACAAGTTTAATAACATTTTTTACGCTAAGTAATTCATCAATAAGCTTATTGTTATAGAGGTAAGTAAACTTTTTATAAAACGTGTAAAGTGTAGTGGTAATGTTTTTTATCGGAGAGTGTAGCATAACCTATCAACTTTTATATTTTTATAAAAATCAATAAACGCGTTAGTTTAACGGTAAGTAAACTCTTTATAAAATGGCCATTCATGACATTAAGAGTTTGGATTTTAGTATTGTAGTTTAATTGTATATGTAGGTTATAAGGTCTCGTGATAGGAGACGTTCCCGCATGCAATGGCCGTGTCATATGATGAATGTCGTGGTTTAGACCCTAACGATGGTAGTGATCGTGGTCGAGGGAGTAGTTGTGCTTCCATTCTTGGTCGGATGGCTCCCCCCATCGACATACCTTCGTAGTACCCTTTAGGTCCCCCGTGTCAACCCTATTGACATTTGACATGTTTTAGCCGAGCTACTTTATTTTGGACCTCCACGTCCTCGCTTTTTTACCCTTCGTCATCATCGGTGCCCTCGGTCCAACAGGACGACCATCATGTTCTCGAACATGGCTTATCACTGAGCATCCCTCCCAAATTAGCTTCGAACCTATCGGATCCATGGTCGATCCTCGAATTACAATCATTATCGTTGGTCGCAAGAAGTACGTTTTATGCATAATTTTATGAAACATTTTTTCTTTATGTATTACTATAATAATGCATTCATTTAAATGTTATTTAATGTCTACTTTCATAGGTTGCATCCTTTTGATATTTATGCTTTTCGTATCTTTAAAGTATTCTACGAGTATGTTGACATATCCGGATGGACGTGGAAGACAATGAGTTTGAAAACGAATGACTTCTACCGGCAAGAGTTTAAGGTAGTATTTTTTTAATTAATTTATTATATGACTTCATATTTAAATAAAGAAATATTAATGTTCAATTAAATGTACTAATGAATATTATTAACTTTCTTGCGAAGTCATTTACGTGGGAGAAGAATATCGAGGAAAAAATTAAGAAAGCATGGTAGAGTCGACATGGAGGCGATATTTCGACTTTCCTTTTCATGTTAAGAAAAACTCCAAGCCAACATATATCTCACGGGAGATATGGGATGCATGACATAAAGAATGGGTAAAACTTGAGTTTATTACCCGATCCGAGATGGCGATCCGAACCGCAAGAGCAAGACTAATGGCGTTGAAGTCGGTCCATCTAGACATATGAGGGGTTCGATCGGCTATAGAGAGCATGCAATATGCATGATATATATATATATATATATATATATATATATATATATATATATGGATTTTATAATGATTTCAATATAATTAATTAAACATTTAAGTATATTTCTTATATTTAAGTATATTTGTTTTAGCATGATGAGTTGCGTCGTGAACTCGATGCTCACGAGGTTTTCTTGAGGACTCACGGGAAGAAGATTGATGATCGGTACATCTTCATCGATCGGTGGACGGGAGTTTTCGGAGTAAGTTATTAATTTATAAAGTTATTTCATATGTATGTCACTTTATATATATATATATATATATATATATATATATATATATATATATATAGCCGTTTAATATTATATTTTGTGTACTTATACGGAGACTGTCTAAAGAATAATTGAGGAGGAGGTTGCTAGCCGACGGACGGAGGGAACTTCATCGATCAACATCGATATGAATGAGATTTTTAAGAAGGTCTGTTGGAGAAGGAGATAGTAAGAGAAAGATGATGTACGAACTCGGGTCATATGTCTCTTATCATTACTCTAATGTAAGTAAATCCTTGAATTTGGTCACTTAGCGGTTCTATGTTGGTAATGAGGTATGTCAAAAGACCATCTCACCAAAAACTTAAGCTTTTAGGTAAGATCCTAGGATATGATTTGTATTATTTTCTAATACACCTCCTCGAGTGAAAGCCCTTTGGGCTTAAAACTTGCATATGCCCACACTACCTTGTGCTTAATTAATTAGAGGAGAAATTAGGAGTGGTAGGATTCAAACTCGCGACCATTTGGTCATCAAGGCTCGATACTATGTCAAAGGACCATCTCACCTAAAAACTTAAACTTTTAGGTAAGGTCCTAGAATATGATTTATATTATTTTCTAACAAGGCACATCAAAAGAAATTAGAGGATCGTACTTCTAGATATACGAACGGATCTCACATCTAAAAGGTTACGTTATAATGCTTTTGGCTACTACAAATGAGTTAAAAGAGTACACTCATGAGCAACATAGATTGATGAGGCAAATGCGACGGATGTTGCCGAATATGCGAGAGGCGATTCATCACCGAGCCTTCGACTAATGATCTTATCGATTGTTCATAGCTTTTATGCTTTCTTTCTCATGTAATAATAACAAACTTTAGACTTTTTTTCCGTAATTAAAATTTTAATATATATATTTAATTTTATATATTGTAATAATTTATAATATTTAAAAATCTTATGTGTGAGGCTTTTTTTAGTTTTTAAATTGGAGTAGGTTAATTTAAAATAATTAAAATTTAGGTAAAAATAAAAAAATGAAAAAAAAATTTCCTAATGATTTTAGCAAAGATTTTAATCGTCGCTAAATACAAAATATCAACGACCAATTTGACAAACTTGTTGCTAAAACCGTCACTAAATTGAGATGGTTTTCTAAAAACCATCGTTAATTTTTTCAAGATTAGCTATGGTATTTTTTTTAAAAAAAATTTGTGATCTGTTTTTGCATTAAATTGCGATGGTTTTTTTGTAGCTAAATTAGTGATGGACTTAAAAAACCATCGCGAAAAATTGACGACAAGCTTTTTATGGACTATTTAAAACTATCGCAAAACTCGTCACTAATTTTTTTTCGTGACTCGTTTTTAAGAATTAGATTCTTTATTTTCTAGTAGTGCAAGATAATTCAACGGTTAAGTCGGCCATTGTTTTGTACTTAGCCTCTATAGAGCTTCGGCCATAGTCTTTTATATAAGTGATTTCCAATAGATAAGATTATTATCAAGATAAATCGCATAACGCCCAATTGATTTTTTTTTTCATCTAAAGATCCTACCCAATCAAAGTTTGAAAATCCCGAAAGGATAGTAGTAGCTTTTTGGATATGCGGACAATAATTTATTGTATGGTTAATATACCGTAGTATTCTTTTCATAAAAACCCATGGTCCATATTTGGACTATGTATGAATTGACAAATCTTGTTAACTACATAGGTAATGTCATGTCGAGTAAGTGGTCACATACTACAATGCACCCACAACCTAAAAATAAAGTGTGGCATTTAAAAGATCAATTCTTGATGCCTTTGTCAATTTAGAAGTAGTTGACATAGGAGCGAGATACTAGATAACATGATTGTATTCCTTGTTTAATAAGAATGTTAGTAATGACAATAACGGACCCTTCAAAGTTTTAGTCATCTCAATATCAAGGAAAAAGCCGAGTCTCCCAAGATCCCCGATTGCAAACTTTGAGTTCAAGGCATTAGCCACATAGAAGATGAATTGATCATTATTACCTGTGAGAATAATGTCATCCACTTAGATAAGGAGGAAGACCTTGAGCCCCTTTGCACTATAAATAAACTATGAATAATCGGTTTTTGATGCCACAAATTGAAAGTTTACCAAGAATTCCTAAAGAAAAGAGAACCAAGCCTATGGTGATTGCTTAACTCATAGATGAATTTGTGGAGTTTGCAAATGTAGTTAGGGAATCTATCATCAACAAAACTAACGAGTTGAGACATATATACATCTTCGGTCGAGTCCTATTTAGGAAGGCATTGTGCACATCCAATTGCTTAACTTTTCATCCATTGTTTATTGCTAAAGTGAGCACACACCGAATGGAGATCGGCTTGACGATTAGACTAAAAGTCTTTCCATAGTCTATCCCCTTTTGTTAATGAAACTCTTTAGCCACTAACCCGACTTTGAATCTCTCAAAGTCGTTATCGCCTTTCCTCTTTGTTTTGAACACCCACTTACCGTCAACAATATTCATAGAAAGGGAGGAAGGTAGGAAAGATCGTATACCGGCTTTGAGAAGGGCATTAACCTCAACAACCATAGTTATAGTAGCGAGACCCATGTTGTCTTCTATAGGGTCCCGAGCCCCCTCTAAGTTTTTTTTTCCTCTATACAATTATAACTAGGCCCAAATGCTCGACTTTTCTTTTTCTTCTCGTCCATACTATAGTGTATCATTTTGCACTATTTAAGTATCATATGGATCGCAAAATGTGCTACATGGATCCCCGTCTAGAGCCCACCTCCCCTCTAAAGAAAAAAATGTTTCTATGGATTCTAAAAAACTTGTATGATGCCACTAGATTTGTCGTGCGAGTTCATAAATGGTTGTGAGACATGTGGCAACATCTTGTGGCTC